TATATATATATATATCCTGGGGCTTGAACTCAGAACTGAGCTTCTCAAGGCTAGTGCTCTACCACTTGAGCCACAGTACCACATCCAGCTTTTTTGTGTGTGTGTGTGTGTGTGTGTGTGTGTGTGTGTGTGTGTGTGTATCCTGGGGCTTGAACTCAGGTCCTGAGCGCTATCCCTGAGCTTCTCAAGGCTAGTGCTCTACCACTTGAGCCACAGTACCACATCCAGCTTTTTCTGAGTAGTTTATTGAAGATAAGAGTCTCAGGACATTCCTGCCTGGGTTGGCTTTAAACCATGATCCTCAGATCTCAGCCTCCTGTGTAGCTAGGATTACAGCCATTAGTGCCTGGCTTTCAGATGGCTTTTAGTTGTTGACAATCCTTTTATTTGTTAACAAAACTTTCATTTGTTGACAATACAGTAGTATTATTTTGATTTTTAAAAAATCCATAAAGAAGAGAATGATAGGAGGGTTGAGGTTGATTGGGATGCATTGTATGTCACAATGAACCTTTCCTTGTACAACTGATATATGCTAGTAAGAAAGAACTCACCACAACCTGGCTTATTAAGTTGTTAGAAGATAATCATTCACTGTGCAAAGATTTCACAAAGTGTTGTTCTGAATAGGCAACATCGCAGTATATTATACATGCTATTTCATATGAGACATCTTAAAAATTATCCAGAAGTTTCCCAAAATAAGATTTGCTTACAAAACATACATGTTAACTCCATTCTTTTCTAGTCCCTCTGTTCTGTCTTCTCTATGTTATTCTACCCTATTCTTTTAAATGATAGAATTACTGGTCATACCTACTAAATTGATTCATGTCCAACTCACAGGATCTACACTTGGGAGTCTGAAAAGCTTTAAAGGCTTGGTGATCTCCCCACTCTTGTACAAGAGGAAGCTTAAACCGGAGAAGTTCACAAAAATTCCTTTTACACATAGTGTTACAAAATTTATGACATAGAATGAAGCTCATTCATAACTGACAATTATGGTAGAGAAAACAGTCTATGAGAAAATTAAGCTATACCCCACTCACCCTTCTCCCAACCTCCCAAAGCAACAACTCTACTAGTTTGTCAAACTGTGAGAGGATGACCCTCACCTTGTCTTCTGCCACTAAATTGTCATAGTGCTCCTTGTACATATCCAGGTCCTCTTTAGCTTTCCGGATGGCCTCTGTTGTCTGGCTCTATAATAACAGAAGGAATAGTTAATTTAATTTATTTTTTTTTGTTGGTCATGGGGCTTGAACTCAGGGCCTGAGCACTATCCCTCAGCTCTTCAGCTCAAGGCTAGCATTCTACCGCTTGAGCCACAGTGCCACTTCCAGTTTTCTGGTGGTTAATTGGAGATAAGAGTCTCACTGACTTTCCTGCCCAGGCTGGCCCAGGCTGGCTTTGAACCTCGATCCTCAGATCTCAGCCCCCTGAGTAGCTAGGCGTGAGTCACCGGCATCTGGCTTGTAGACTCTTAAAATACATATGTCTCATGGCATATTAAGTATTCATTAATGAATATCCTTTACTAATTATATTAATAAAAGTTGAATCTATTGAAACTTACTTTGTAATGAGAGTTTGGAATTCACTGTCTCTAGGGAACCATGCTTGTTTATAATTACATTTTTATGGGTTGCAACATGATGTTTTCTTTCTATAAGCAAACCCATTGCTTCCATGTTTAGTTAAACTTAAAGAACAATATTCTCTAAAGAATGATTTACAATCTGCTTAAAAGGTTATGTTCCTTGTTCAGGTGTTCCAGGTTGTGCAGTTAAAGCTAGTGCTTTTAAGTACAAAGCTAATGTGGTCTCATTTATGTCATGTTCATACCAAAGTCACACAGTTCTTTCAACTAAATGACTGCAGAAGCAGATCCACATAACTTTATTAACAGATCAGAAGGGGTGACCCTGCTGCAAAGTCCCAGACAGGAAACCAAGAAACACATGTGGCTGAGAGGAATGGCAGAAGGAAGGAAGGGAGTCTAGATATGGAAGCTCTTGTGTGTCCAGAAAGTCTGGAACTCAGCTATCAAGTATTATACTTACTTTCTCCTCCTGCTTCTTAGCACGGTAGTTATTCAAGAACTCTTCTCTGGAGTTTAATTCTTCTTCCAACAGTAAAGAAAAAACCAGATTATTTATTTTCAATTCTTCCTGTGGAAATATTTTTAAAAAAGAAATGTGTGTGCCAATACTTCTATGTAAGAAAGGAATTCTATCATTGCTCATAGGAGTAGATCTAATCAAGTTTATGACATACAAGTAAGAGAAACATTTCAAAGAAAAGATGAATAGACTATAGACTATTGTAATAACTATTAGGTTATGTCACCTTTTGCGGGGGTGTGCTTACTGCTTACTTAATTGTAGATAATAGTTTTGTAGACTTTTGTACTTTTTTGCTTGGGCTAGCTGCTAACCATGGGTTTCAGCCTCCGGAGTAGCTCCTAGCCAGCATCTGGCTCTTTGTTTTTAAATCAGTTTTTAGAAAATGAATTTGTTGCCTTCCTCTGAAGGTGACTGACCAGTGGTTTCCTTTAGTACAAGTTCCTGAATTTTAGTAAAATTGATGAGTTCTAATTGTGGCAATTATTGTCCCTGTATCTTAAGTGGTCTTATTTAGAGTAGACCAAGGATGATATTACATTGTAGTCTGAAAGTTCCTAATTATCTTGTACAACATGTTCTAAGTATGTTTTCACTAGAGAATAACATCTTTATCAAGGTATATTTCACATGCTATCCAATTCACCATTTACAAAGTATACTTTGCTGTTATTTTTGCATATGCACAGTTGTATTACAACCAGCTTCACAATCAATCTCAGAATGTTTAATTATTTTGAAATGAAATCCTTTAGCAGTCACTTCTCATGTTACCTATACTTCCCAGAAGCCTCTCGGTCCTTATCTAGACCCTGTGATGGGAAGTGCGGCAAAAGAAGGGGAGGGGCTCGTGAGGTTGGAGAGGAAGCTGAGGTGCACCTGCAAGACCCTGGCACCAGGTAAGGGTGTGGGTCCACTCCCGAACAACAAAGGAAGATCCTTGAGGATTCTTAAAAGAACAAGCCACAGAAATGAAACTCTTATTTACCTGGTTGACAACCATCTCTGCTTTCACCCTTCTTTCAAAGAGTCTTTTCAAATGGTCATCAAAACTCTGTGTGCTTTCTTGAATGGAGTTTTGCAATTTCTTCAATTCTGCTTCTAAGGACTGAATGGAGGGCACAGAAAATATAATGCTGGTTGAAAACAGTGTGTTTGTATTTTAACACATGGGAGAAGGAGGAAAGTGGACACCGGGAAGCCATTCTAGGCCCTTTGCCCCTTTAACAAGAGATTTCCCCTTCCCCATCCATTTAAGATACCATGTATCTGGGCCTTTTGCTTTACGCATTAGAAAAAATAAAAAGGTTAAAAAGTCAGTGATCATGGCTAATGATGCAGCTAGAAGCAAGAGACAGAGCAATTTCTCACAGCGACTTGCATGTGGTCTGCTCTGAGCTCATTCAACAATGAGAATGAATGGAGGACAGTGAATGATGCTAATGTGGGAAGGATTGAAACCATTAAGGACTTTGAAAATGCATTGGTATATATTATTTGTTTTAAATTATTCCAACCCTTTACATTTCTCTTCTCCTATGACTCCAATTTCTCTTGCAGATTTCAGCTAACACACTGTCTTTGAGCTATTAAGGATGGTTATATTAAGTTTTTCCTTTCCAACCTTTCTATACTTATCTCTTTCTTCATTTAACTCCTTGACTTTCTTCTCATACTCTTTAAATTGTTTCTTTTCATCTTCAGTCCACAAGTTATCAGATTTTGACATAAAAGGAGGCTCTGGGATCACCTGGAAACACAAAGGAGAGCATGTGCCATGGCCTACTCGTAGATAGAACAGTGGAGGAAAAGCTCACAGCTGGGCCTCATTTGAAACATCTACATGTGGACCATATGTTCATAAGGAACTGGGAGGTTAACAATACCTCTGTTGCTGTGGAATTTCTAAAACTGAAGTTCATGGAGGACAAATGTGAGCTACTTTAAGTAGCTCTTTCTAGCACCTTCTATAAGGGTGGTCAGAAACCTCACCATTCGCAAAATGTCTTCCTTCTTGACTTCGAGAACACCTCCCATCATGTCCATCAGGCCTCTTTGTCTGTCGTCGGAGCCCTGGGAAAGAGTCAGGATCAGAGAAGGCAGCTGAGACAGTGACCTAACAGCATGAACAGTCTCCTGCTTGGTGTTAGAATGTCTGCATTTAGGGGCAGGTTGATGACAGTGGCTTGGAAGAATGAACTCACTTTTAGATGCTATGATCTAGTCTTAGTCTTAACACTAGAAGGCCTGTTGTTTGAACAAAATCACATACCTGTGGATGAAGCCATCGGTCTGTATCCTGGTGTGTGAGCACATCTACTTTGTTTTTTTTCCGAGGCTTAATATATTTTTGGACTTCGATCTGAAAGAGAAAATACAGTTTCCTATTATTAAATTTAAGACAAACTTCCTTTCTCATCTTGGGTGATTAAATTGTATTAAGGAAATTAGAAGGACAATCAAGCTTCACATCCAATTTTCTATTCTGGAATGAGTTCTAAAATTAGAGGATTAGAAAAAGAGATCCTCATTCCTTCTATTAACTCTTAAATCCTATCTCATCTCTAAAAGATTTTTTTTTGTCAGTTGTGGGGCTTGAACTCTGGGCCTGGGCATTGTCCCTGAGCTCTTTAGCTCAAGGTGAGCACTCTACCACTTGAGCCACAGCACTACTTCTGGTTTTCTGGTGGTTTATTGGAGATAAGAGTCTCACAGATTTTCGTGCCTGGGCTGGCTTTGAACCATGACCCTAAAATCTCAGCATTCTGAGTAGCTAGGATTACAGGTGTGAGCCACTGGCGCCTGGCTCTAAAACAAATCTTAACAGGGGATTTGATTAAGGGACTTACAGAAATATCAAATTGAGTCAAATTGAGAAGAATGGTGGTCTTGCAAGGGCAAAATCTTGTGGCTTTTAAGGCACTTTTTGGAGAAAAGTATGGCCAAAACAGAGAGCAGCTAGACAAGGAGTCTGGGGCTGGGTGCTGGTAGGAGAGGAAGGAGGAGGACAAGAGGAGGAGGAGAGAGGAGGGCAGAGGGAGGTAGAGGGACACCCCCAAAGGCTCCAGTCTTTGGTTCCCACTTCATCTTGCGCTCTGTGTTCAACTGGTCCCTGGACTGTGGGGGATATTCAGAAAAGAAGCCCTCACTCTTTCTGAGGCTATGCTACCTGAGTTCCTGACCTGAAACACAGTACTACGCAGTAGAGTCACTTCTGGTAGTATAAACAGAAAGCTGAGTGGACAGGATCTGGGAACCGCCCTGAGAGGGGAAAGAACACATGGCTAGCCCGCACCTCGTGATCTTCCACAACGAGGGCTCTTTCTGGCTTCTCACAGTCTTCAAATTCTGGTTGCCAAACTATTTCTTCCAACTCCAGATCTAAAACGATTTCTTTGATTCTAACATTTCTTTCTTTCACACGTGCAATTTCAAACTCTTTTTGTTTATATGCAGCATTAAACTCATTATTGAAAGCAGTTTTTACCTTGTAAATAATATCCTGAAATACAAATAGGTTAATGAAAACATACCACATCTCATATCGTTAACTGGAAATGTGATCGGAATGTTATGTTTTCCCTTTAAGATCATTCTACAAATTAGCTGTTTTTTGTACTGTGGTTTCAACTCAGGGCTTTGAGCTTTCTAGACAGATTCTCTACTGCTTGAGCCATGCCTCTAATCCTTTTTGTTCTGGCTATTTTTGAGATAGAGTCTTGCTTTCCTTTTGGGCTGGCCTGGACTGTGATCTTCCTATTTATGTTTCCTGTCACAGTTAGAATGACAGATGTGAGCTTTCCATACTAAGCTCTTATTTCTATTGAGATGGAGTCTCATGAACTTTTTGCCTGGTGTGGCCTTGAACCATGATCATTTCTATATCTGCTTTTTGAGTAGGTAGGATTATAGGTATTTTCTTTTAAGAACTATTTTCCTGAGATAATGTTTATATTGAGTCATTTATAGGTTTAATAATCCACAGCAGCATTCACTAGGGTAAGGGTAGGATGAAGTTAACAGTATAATTATGGTATCACAATGTACTTCCTTCAAGGCGATTTATAATTCAGTCCTCCAATCTGATAACTGCGGTTGGCATTTGGAGGCCCAGTAGACAAGTCTTTCTACTTTTGTGCATGTTTAAGGAGCTGTAGGCATAGCTCCAATAAGAGCACTCACCTAGAGGCTCTGAGTTCAAACCCCAGTATTCCCCCCCCCCCATGTACTTACACATTTTAAAAAAGCTACACAAAAAAGCCAAGTTTAGCCAAGGTGGCTCACATCTACAATCCTAGTTATTCAGAAGGCTGAGATGTGAGGATCATAGTTTGAAGCCAGCCTGGAGAAAAGTCTATGAGACCCTTATTTCCAATTAATCACTAAAAAAGCTGGAAGTGAAGCTGTGGCTCAAATGGTAGTGTTAGCCTTGAGCAAAAAAGCTCAAGGACGGTGACCAGACCCTGAGTTCAAGTCTCAGGACAGGCTTGTGTGCATGCATGCACGTGTGCACATGTGCCAAGTTTGGTTATATATGTCTATAATCCCATTTACTCAGGAGGCAAGAGGAACTCAAGTTTGAGGCCAGCTCTGGTAAAAGTAGTGAGACACTATTTCAGAAGTCAAATATAAAACTAGAGGGACAGGGTAAGGTTATAGCTTAAGGGCTAGAAGTGCTTGCCTAGCCTGCATAAGGTCTTTGGTTCCATTTGCAGAACTGAAATGAAAAAACAATGTATGGGTCTTAAGTTGGGAAGCATCCATTCTTTGAAACCTTCTTGGGGGAGATGCAGAAAGATATAGCTAAGAGCGGTGTTAGAAGAATCTTTCAGTAAGGCACCTCATATGCAATATTCCTCCTCTGCAGGTAGGAGATACCAATACCTATGTGGAAACAGGTCTAAGTAGATTGCCCCCACTCAATTTAACTGCTACTGGGTCAATTTAAAGAGGTCTTTTTAGTTACATTTGAGTTAAAGGTATATATCTAGCCTACCAAAGATGAAACCATGAAGTAAGGTGGAAAAGGATGTGGCTAGCACTAGAATGACTTCCTTATAGACAAATGTCTTAGCCAGCAGCAAGAAGTTGAATCCCTGGAGCCTGAATTAGCAAGTTTAGCTGCAAAAGCTAACTTAAACAATGTGAGTACAAATGAGCTGGAACTCCAAGGGTTAGAGGAGAAAAGTATAGGGAGTAAAATCTAGAGCAGACATGGCTGAAGGACTTTCAAGAACAGGAAGAGCCAACATTGCATTACAAACTAGCTACAATCTGGGACAAACCAAGAACTGAGAACCAGATCTCATGGCTTATTCCTGAAGCCCAGAACTTACAAAATCTTAGAGAAAAACTAACAAAAACCCCAAAACCAAAAAAAAGCAAAAAACCAAACCCAAAATAAAACCAGATAGGTGATAATATCTTGACAATCCAAGAAAGTTTAAATGGTGCTGGGAATATTAAAAAGATGAAATACAAGAATTTCTTTGAGTTGACTAAAAGTCTAAGCAGAAGATGGTCTGTGGTGTCAAACAGTTTAAAATATTCCTTAGAGAACTTATCTCACCAAATCCAGTTTGAATGGATGGAAACAAGTCTCTTTCGTTGTTGTTGTTGTCTGGTAGTATAGGGGTTAGTATACTGAGGCCTCACACTGGTTCAACTTGCTGCTGACATCTCACTATTTGAGCCATGCCTCAAGTCCAGCTTTCTTATTCAATTGGAAATGGAATCTCATTGACATTTCTGCCTGGGCTGACCTCAATCTGCTGTTCTCCCAATCACAGCTTCTTGAGTTGCAGGAATTACAGGTGTGAGCTCGCAGGGATCATTCAGAAGCCACTCTTGTACATCAGCTCTGTCTAAAGGACACAGGTACTGGCCATGTGTATACTTCACCATGTACTTCAGAAACATCATTTGACTAGCATTAGGTTTCAGTGTCATTTTAGAGACTCTTTATGGAGCCTCTCAAAAATCTTGAGAGATTTTCAAGGATAAAGAGAAAATTCACCCACTTTTAACAATATAATTTGGTTGATTTTCTCCTCTCTGGAATGAAGTTCCAATTGGCTTGGCAACAAAGAGGTATCCACCCCAAATTCAGAACTCAAACTGCCAAGCAAGTAATCAGGCAAGTTAGTTTCTTTTATTGTCTTATTTTCTTCTTCTTCTTCTTCATCATCCTCTTCATGAAGCTTTTTAACCAAGGTCATTGCAGACTGGGTCTCTATAATTTCTTTCCGTAGCTTAATATAGAAAAAGATATTGTGAAAGTTATGCATTAATAAGACTTATCTGGAGAACAATTTTTTGTATCAACTTTAAGAGGTTAAATCATCTTGAAAACAACTTAATTCAGCTACTGTAGATGAAAATAAAAGCTCTTGAAACTGATAAATTGTCAATAGACCAAAAGAATAAAAATGGTCCTTGATAGTACATATGTGTACTTTTTTTGTCAGGATGATTCCTTCTTGTAAAATTTTTTTTACATTCAAAACTTGTTCCCATAATACTAGAGGATTTAAGTGTGCCATCACGTTGTGTTTCAGAAAAAGAGAGAATACAAAGTCCTGGCCCAAACAATGCTATACCAAAGGGCCAATTTTATTTTTGTTTGCTGCTTTGAAAGAGATTATTACTAAAATAAGTTGGACTTGCTTTAGGAAAACCATAATTTGATCAAAATAGACTACTTTATCTTTGTCTGTTATTGCTGGTGGCTCATTCTGTAACCCTAGCTACTCATGAGGCTGAGATCTAAGGCTAACAGGATGAAGCCAGACCATGCAGAAGTCTGTGAGCCTCTTTATCTCTAATTAAAGAGCTGGAAGTGAAGGTATGGCTCAAGAACTAGAGCACCATCCTTAAGAGAAAAGGCCAATTGAGAGCTCAAGGCCCTAAGTTTGAGCTCCAGCATTGCACAAAAATATAAAACCCAATTCCTGGTGGTAACAGGGAATAGAAGATGTGCAGGTAAGGACCACCTCTGATCAGGATAGGGATGAAATCCCATGTTAAGTGGTAAGGCCTTTTCCTGAAATGCAAATTCTGCTCTTAGCTGTACAAATGCAAACCAAAAAAAAATTCCAAATCTCATGAAATAAAAAGCATATTCTCATATTTAAGGACTAGCCAGGGTTGTATAGAATATAGACTCTTGATTTATTATATGGATATAAGATCCTATATTTATTAGAACATATTCTACAAATTAGCAAGAAATAAAAAATATAAATATTTGCAATATATATAACTTATCTTAAATTGTATCCCAACTCAACTGTGCATGAAAGAGAACCTAAAGGATATCATTTATGTAAACACACCTACATATATATTTATATTGATATCGTACTTTAAGGCATTCGGCTTCAATCTTCCTTTGCTGCAAAACTGTCTTCAATTCTTCTTCCTCCTCAGCTGTGCGATCTTTCATTGGGAAGTTCTCAACTGTGCAGGGGATGTGAAAGCACTTGGGGAGAAAACCAAGATGAAATGAATCCATTTTTAATACAATTGTGGGTACAATAGCACTGAGAGGATGCTTTCTGTGATTAAAATGAACTTAGAGATTATTGTGCTGGGAATAAAATTGAAAATGGAAATCTTCAATAATAAAATTGTGGAGTGTTGGTTAGGTGGATAGAGCTTTAATATAACATGTAGCCCATCATGTTGCTCCTTCTTCCCATAATGCTCTGGGTTCCTGCTGAACCAATCAGAAGAGTTGAGGCAGAGCAAATACAAGTTATTAAGCACAAATCCAGGGGAGGAAGTTTCTATACTGTAATAACTGCTCTCTGAGAAAGGATCCCATTGGACTCTCAGATCCATGGACCCTCTTTATGGACTCTCTACTGTACTTTTGCTTTCAAACAAACTTGTTCTTAAATATATATATGTGTGTCCGTGTGTGTATAAAACATACATCTATAGATGCTATTAATATTGGTATGCACTTTGTGTGAAATACTGGGCTTTTGTGAAGGATTTCTTTCTTTCTTTTTTTTTTATCGGTCGTGGGGCTTGAACTCTGGGCCTGGGCACTGTCCCTCAGCTCCTCAGCTCAAGGCGAACGCTCTACCACTTGAGCTACAGCACCACTTCCGGTTTTCTGGTGGTTTATTGGAGAGAGGAGTCTCACGGTTTCTCCTGCCCGGGCTGGCTTTGAACCGAGATCCTCAGATCTCAGCCTCCTGAGTAGCTAGGATTACAGGCATGAGCCACCAGTGCCCAGTGTGAAGGATTTATTTCTAAGTAAATCCTTGAGCAATAGTTCTCAACTAAGAGCAATTCTTCCCACTTACCCCCTTTCACTCAGACATCTGGCGATCTTGAGATTTATTTATTTTTTGTTGGTCATGGGGCTTGAACTCTGAGCCTGGGCGCTATCCCTCAGCTCTTCAGCTCAAGGCTAGCACTCTACCACCTGAGCCACAGCGCCACTTCCAGTTTTCTGGTGGTTATTGGAGATAAGAATCTCTCGGACTTTCCTGCCTGGGCTGGCTTTGAACTGCAATCCTCAGATCTCAGCCTTCTGAGTAGCTAGGATTACAGGTGTGAGCCACTGGCACCTGGATAGTCTTGAGACTTTAAAAAAAATAAAATCGTTACTAGCGAAGGTGTGGGATGTTGCTGTCCGGCAGATAAGAGGTCTAGGGTGTTGCTCAACATGCTACTGTGCATTGGGTGGCTTGCAGAACAAGAAATACTCAATCCAAGATATGCTATTCGTGGTAAACCCTATTTGAGAGCCATAAACATGCTAAAAAATGAAATCACATATTTTGTTATTCAAATGGGGGGCAGGGAAGCAAATTTGAAAATGAAAAAGATGTTTCTAATAGTTATTTGAGGGACACGGGCATGAACATCTTTGGTTACCCCCAACTCAAAGAGAAATCGAAACAAGTCTTTGGAAAATGTGGAGGTGTAAATGTGAAGAATATTTTGCATACTTTCTAATCTGTGAGGTAACCTTTCAGAGTAGACAAGGTACTAAGACCCAGATGCTGGGTGCATCACAGAGGAGCAAAGGAAAGGGGAGCTATGACCTAGCCCAAGAGATGCTGCCTGGAAGCCATGGAAACCGGGAGGGAAGAATGAAGAGAAATGGACACACCTAGGTGGAACTCCGTGTAGGAAAAGGCAAATCAGGCTCCCATTGCTTTGCTGGGTGTGGCTTTTCTTTAGATTAAAAAAGAATGAATGCCATGATGCTTCCAAGGGAAAATGTCTCAGCTGGCAAGGTTTTGACTGTTTACCTTCAGAGCTCGCCCTTTCACAGCCATGGAATTCCAGCACTCTTCTTTGATCAGCTCAGTCAAATAGCTCTTGGCGAGGTTATGCAACTCAGCATCTTTCTTTATCTTATAGTGAAAAGACCAAATGAACATGTGAGCTCTTAACAAACATGATCTTGTGAATACTCTAGCTAGTAAGAGCCACACGCTTGCAGGGCCAAGTTGACTTGTCTTTTTCTTTTTTCAACCCTTTGCACTATCCCCCATTGAGATGAACATCTGGAGTTTGCAGCCTTGCCTTTGAGAATGTTTCCTAAAGCTTATGTCTTGCAGGCTTAGATTCTCTGTTTTGAAGACTGGGGTGTTGTGTTTAGGTCACACTGGTTAGCTCAGGGGGCTCTGAGGTCAGATACCTTGCAGCAATGAGCATGAGGGAAATAACTAAATACACACAGCACCAGTGATTGGCATGGAAAGGAAGTGAAACCATAGTCCTTATCTTCTTGTTTTATCACAGAAGCCTGATATCTGTCTCCGTCTCACTCTCTCTCTGTCTCTGTCTGTCTGTCTCTGTCTCTCTGTCTCTGTCTTTCTTTATATATATATATATATATATATACAGATATATATATATATCTGTATATATATTTATTTATATATCTGTGTTGGTGCCAGTACTAGGGCTTGGACTCAGGGTCTGTGCCTTAGCTTTTTCTTCTCAAGGCTGGCATTCCACCTGAGCCATAGCTCTACTTCCAGCTTTTTTCCTTCCTGGGCTGGCCTTGAACTGAAATCCTCTCAGCCTCCTGAGCATCTGGTACCCAGCCTGATGGAATTTAAGTTAAATGTTCCTAACCTTTGCCACCTCCTCTTCACTTTGGTCTTGAAGCCTTTCCAGTTCCTCAAGATCCAAGGCAAATTCCTCTTCCTCTAATTTTGCAATAGAATCTACTTCTTCATTTTCTTCCATCATCCTCACAATCTGAAGTTTGAAGTAAAAAAAAGATGATAACAATTAGACCTCAAGGGAATATCTTTCTTGGTCTCTTTAGACAGCAATCAGTAGGAAGATGAATGTTCTGTTTATAGGCTTTTGTAATTGTTGAAGCTTTAACATTTGACCCTTAAAACTCATACATGAGCTGGGCACCAGTGGCTCAGGCCTGTAATCCTAGCAACTCAGGAGGCTGAGATTTGAGGATAGAGGTTTGATGCCAGTCCAGGCAGGAAAGTCCATGAGACTTTTACTTTCAATCAAACACCAGAGAACTGGAAGTGGTGCTGTGGACTGAAAGTGGTAGAGAGCCAGCCTTGAGCAAAAAAAGCTCAGGGATAGTGCCCAAGCCCTGAGTTCAAGTCCCATGATCGACAAAACAACAACAAAAACTCATCCATTTAATACCGAGACAGCAAAACATATAAGTTCATCACAAACTGATTTTGTTTATTTTAGCAATACTAGAGTTTGAACCAGGGCCCTGCCATGAAAACTTCATGAGTTGGGAGGCAGGTGTTATACCATTTCAACAATACCACACAACCCTTTTGGGATTTAAGTTATTTTTCAGATAGGGTGTTTCATTTTTGTCTGCAGCCAGCCTGGATCATGAGTCTTCTACCTAGGCCTCCTGTGTAGCTGGGATTATGAAGTAAGGACACTGGGTCTAAGCAATATGCTTTGTCCTTACAGACATCCTGGTGCCTTGCTTGGTAGAGGGGCCTTTCCTCCCAGCTCTGAAAATCCTAGAACTGAGAGAGGCCATTCTTTGAATGCTGTTTAGCCTTAGGAGAGCTTTGCTACAGAGAATACTCTGGTTCTGCCGTGGTTATCTCCCTAAATGGTTTGATTTACTTGCCTCTGAGTAACCCCTAGGTAGCTTCCCATATGGAAAATTTGAGGCATATCCCCCTAAATGGACCATTTCTGGCCTCTGAGCTACTTCCCCAGATGGAACAGGTCTTCTGGTACCCAAGCTACTTCCCAATATGGTCTGCTTTTATTGGGCTTGCAGGACTCCACCCCAAGCATGTGGATAAAGAGCGAATTCAGTAAGTCAGAAGACAATGGAACACACATTCCGAACTCTAAGGGGAAATCATTGCCCATGTAGGCAAACCATCAATGGAATGTGAGTCTAGGCTAGACATTTTAAGAAAAATCAGACACTAAAGTGTTGTATGACTCTAGGGGCAGGGACCATTCACCCTGGATTACATGTGAGTTATAGCCCATGACACAGCTGTGTAACAAAGGGCGTTCCCCAGCTTAGAGAGCAAGTGCTTAGACTAGACATGACAACAAACATGACAGATCTATTACGTCAGGTACTTGACTGAATTGAGAAATATTCTAGCATTTTGCTAGAGTCTGAGGAGGTGATAAGTGCAAAGGCAGTTATTTATTCCAAAAAAATAAAGTTATAAAAATAGATGTGTAATCAAAGTATCCGTGTAGCTCAGCTCTGAGGAAGGTCTGCACCATGCCAATGGCATGTAAACTGAGCATAGGATCTGTTGTGTGGTGGGGTATGTGAAAGAAAACTGATGTGCTCACATTTAATACTGGCAAACCCATAGTTAGCACAAGCACACAAAAACAAAACAAAACACAAAGAACAGTAGTAATAAGAAGACTAGTTAGCAAGATGAAGGTAAAGAAGCCAAAAAGAAAAGGTTATGAAGTTATCTCATGAGCATAGGAATCAGAGAAGTAGGGCAGGGGCGGTTTTAAAAATATTCATTTCGGAGCTGGGCACTGGTGCCTCATGGCTGTAATCCCAGCTACTCAGAAGGGTGAGATCTGAGGGTCATGGTTTGAAGCAGCCTGGGTAGGAAAGTCTAACCACCAAAAACTGGGAAGTAGTGCTGTGGCTCAAATGGTAGAACGTTAGTGTTGAGTGAAAAAGCTGAGACTGAGTGTTCTGGCCCTGACTTCAAGCCCCTGTACCAATACAAAAAATAAAACATTAGTTTTTAGTTTATACAATTTAGTTTCATTTACAAAAGGTACATGTATAACTTGATTAAGAGTATTAAAATCCATCTAAAGATGGATATTTGGGAAGATAGAGAAGAAAGCCACTGTTGACATAACACCAAGCATGATATGGAGAAAGTTCCACCTTGCTACAGAACCTTGGAAACATCATGGGAGGTGCTTCCTCACACTCTGTAGAACAGAATAAAGTTCAAAAAGTAATAGGGCCGAGGGCAGAATGTATGCACATATAAAGTCCTAACACTTACTGTTTTAGTGAGCAGCTTGATTCCCATCTTTATGTCTTTTCTTTTCTGAGAAAACAGTTTAATCTCATTTTTGATTGCCTGAAATGAACAAACTACATTACTGACCAGAGTAAGAGAACTGCAGGAAGATCTATCAGACATTCCTGTGCATGTATAGAGCAGTGCTCTAGAGACAGAAATAAACACTTCTAAGAGCTTGAAGTGTCCCTGTGGATACTTTGCTTATATCTAACTGTAAGTGACCATGGAACTGATGTCACTTGTATAAGCCAATAGAAAGAAAATAAGTAGTGAAAAATGAAACAGTGAGTAACTGACAATGGGAAACCAGTGTGGCTTTTGATCTGAGAACTTAAGGGCATGGGTTGCCATCAACATGCTGTCTGTGTCCTTTTCATTATGTCTGAAGCTAAAGCACCCATTCTGTTCCCAGATCTTTGTATTAAGATAAACATCCGACCCAGACCCCTACAAAAAACAAAACAAAACAAAACAAAAAACAACTGACTTCAAAATGGGGCCACGTCACAGCTTTTGGGCTTACCTGGACACTTTGGTTAGGTTTCATGGTAGCCTAAGTAAGTTCATACAGCTATTTAACTGAATGTGAAAGATTGGGCTATATTTTAGAAAGTTGCTTGCACAAATAGTATCCCATTAAACCATCTAACGTTCTACTAGGTTTCCTTAGGAACGGAATCTAGTTGGTACACCACAGGGCAGGATTTTAAGCCTGTCCTATACTTTATAAATACCTCTTGGCTTTTTTGTTCAATCCAAGAACGTTCCTTCTGGTGACTTTCTTCAGGGATTTGCAAGTCCTCTTGTGATGAGTCAATATTTGGCTTAGGCTGAGATTGATTAGAATGCTACAGACATCAAATTAAAAATTTGTCAAGTTCTCTTTCCCTATCCTTTTAATCACACTAAGTCCTTTCACATTTGTTGTGTTGAAAAAAAATAACAGTATACATTTGTCTGCCAAAGATAAAATGCCTTATTAATTCTTTTTTCAATTTTCTTTTTTTTAATTGTCAAAGTGATATACCAAGGGGTAAATTAATTCTTATCAGTCTGTTCTTATAATAGAAATAAACCAGTTCTAATGACTGATAACATAAAGTTACATGAAATTGAACCATAGCAATACCTTGCTTCAATCTTGCTGGGCACTATGGCTCATAGTTGGTAATCCCAATACTTGTGAAGCAAAGAATTGAGCATTAAGGTTTGTGACCAGCCCAGCCCCCCCCCCAAATAATAGTGCAATATCATCTCTACACCAACAACAAAAGTCTAGGTGTGGTGGCTGACACCTGTCATCCCAGTGATGTGGGATGCATAAGCAGAAGGATGGAGGTCTAAGCAAGAATAGACGTCCCATCTCAAAATGGACTGCAGCAAAAAGTGATGAGGACTTGGCTCAAGTGATAGAGCATCTGCCTAGGAAGTGCAAAGCCATGAGTTCAACCCACCAAACAACAACAAAAACTAATTGCTACCTGGCAAGTGATCAAGAAAGTCACTGAACCAGGGGCCTGTGGGCTTACCCCTATAATTCTAGCTATTCAGGAGGCTGAGATTTGAGGGTCAAGGTTGAAGCTGGCCTGGGAAGGAAAGTCTGCAAGACTCTTCCAATAAATTGCCAGAAAAGCCAGAAGTGGAGCTGTGGCTCGAGTGGTGAAGTGCTAAAAGAAGATCAGTGACAGTGCCCAGGCCCAGAGTTCAAGCCCCATGACTGACCAAAAAAAGTCAGAAATGATCACACAGGTCATATCACTACCAAATCATTCCTTCTGTTACTGTGGACCACATAATCTTGCCATCAAATTCTATCCTGTCACTGGTGCTTTCCACTCTATAGTATTTCCCTCTAGAGCATCTATTTCCCTCTTCTACTGCATCTCTCACAACAGTATCCAAATAGATACTAATCACAGAGGAAAAACCATTGACCCCCGACCACACATTCCCTGTCACTTCTGCCTCATTTCTACGCTTCCCTTTTTAGCCAAGTGCTGTGGAAGGCTGTAGGATGTCACAGCCTCCTGGCTTCTCCTCACGCTCTTCTCTGCTTTCCTGTAGTAGGAGTTGCTCTCTCTGGGTACTTCTGCTTCTCCCCAGTCATTCTCTCATCACGACTCTATAGTCTTCTGGCTTTAAATCCATCCAGTCCACATGCCCTTCCCCCTCAAATCAGCATCTTCAGCAGCCTGTTCACTTGTTTAATGGGTGTCTGGAGCCAGCATGGGTAAAACTGATTCGAGATCCCTTCTTTCTCCCCTACTTCCTCTTCTCTACTCCCTACTTCCTCTCAAAAGGTGTTCCCCATCCCCATGCAGGATGCCAGCTTCTATGCAGCTGCTTGGAGAAAAGAATCCAGGAGTCATCTGAAATCCTTTCTTGGCCTCTCCTTCTATGTTTAGTCCTAAATGACACTGACTTGGAATCCATCACTTCTCCCCTCCCCATCCCAGAACTGCTTCCCTATGTCTGTCATTGCCTCCTGAGCCATCTCTCTGCTTCCACTCTGGTCTCTGCAGGAAACTTGGTCCATGGAGCAGAAAGTGATCATTTAAAAACCATAAATAATATGTATTGTTAATCCTCTGCTCAGACGATTCCCATAGACTCTCCTTACTTGCAAAATAAAGTCTAAGCTCTCGACCAAGTTCTTCCTCAGCTGTGCTTTTTCCTACTTTGAGGATCTCACCTCTTACCACTCCCTTTCTGCCTTTTGTAGGTCCTCACACATCACATGCCACACCCGTTGCCCCTTTGCCTTTGGCTCACCTTCCCTCCATCTCATTTCTTTGCATAGTATCTTCTTTAATTTAGATCTCAGCTACCCAGGCAACTATTGTTACATAAACCAATTTAATAAAACATAGAATAAAATATAACTTTTCACTATCTTACCTTTAATTATTTATTTGCTTATGTTCCCATATCTCTGCATATATCAACACCCTATTTTAGAATGTAAACACCTTGAAAATAGAAACTTTTCCTTTCTCCTTTATGTCTGTAACTCTACTCTCAGCCTACCATTTTGAAGGTACTCAATAGATATTTGTTGGTTGATTTACTGACTGAATGAATGTTGTTCTAGTCGGACACTTTGCAAATCATGCGTGTAATATGAAAAACAGAGAGACAGTTTTGACCATGTACCAGTATTGGTAGTAGATTGATTATTCCCTCAACAAGATTAGGCCTTTTACTAGGCTTTAAATAAGATCTCATATGATCTGACTCATATATCCATCTCATCTACATATTTGTGACCACTTTAAGAAAGCCTGAATATTTTCAGTCTAGTGATTTGAAAAAAAAACCCAAAACTATACCTAGATCAGAAGAAATATTGCTAAAAACGTACTTAAAGAAAACGTAATGGAAAACATCACATGATTTTCAAGGAAAGCAAACTAACTACAGTGAACTCAACTGTGCGTTCAGGTTCGCTTGCCAAATCTATGGAACCATGGCGTGTAGTTAAATAATTATTCTCCTCTTCCATGGTGCCAATCATGAAAGTTAGTATTCTCCGGCAATATGAGGTCATTTCAGTGGCTAAATTTCCTGCAAGCCGCCTATATTAAAAAAGACAAAAAATAACCAAAACCAAGAACCACAGACCCCAGCATCACATTAACAAAAGTATATTTAGCAGTATTATTTCCAGATGCCTACACAAAGAAATAGGTTGTATATTACTAATGCCTCTTTATGTTCTGTACTTTGATCTTTGAAATCTGGGGCCTTGTTGACTCTCCCAGGGACAAGCCAGTTCCTAGAGATAGTAAAAGCTGGCTCTGGGACACTGGCTTTCAAATGCAGACACCATAGCCATTATCTTCCCTTCCCTGTAGTCTCAGGGTCAAGTCCTAGACAAGTAAAGATAGCTCCTGTGCTCCCAGAATCTGCTGAGCCCACGTGGTCCTTCCTTTGGAAACCAAGGTTATTACTCACCTTTCCCTCCACTTTCCCAGTCTGATCTACCCTGGGGCTTCCACTGTAGCCCTTTTCCCATAACATGGCACATCATCTACTTTCTGGACCTAGAAATATAACAGTCTTCTCAATAGCCACCTTTCTTCTAGAATGTTGGTTTTGCTAGTCTTCCCCCCCCCCCGCTCCCAGTGGGTCGTGGGGCTTGCACTCTGGGCCTGGATGCTGTCCCTGAGCTCTTCAGCTCAAAGCAAGTGCTCTACTGCTTGAGTCACAGCATCACTTCTGGCTTTCTGGTCGTTAATTGAAGATAAGAGTCTCATGGACTTTCCTGCCTGGGCTGGCTTTGAACCAAGATCCTCAAATCTCAGCCTCCTGAGTAGCTAGGATTACAGGCATGAGCCCCCACGCCCGGCTACTTCTGCTATTCTTGAATAATGAAATCTCTATTTTAACATATCCTAGCACATGGTTGGGGGTGGCTTACTGTTTACTGTATGTACCTCCATTTTAGGTAGACAAGGGTGGTGTCATCTTTCCCAGATGCCAGAATATGTTGTCCATCCATGGAAATTCTCAAGGATTGAATTCCTTGTCCATGGTGAGAATGACTCCGGTACCGAGAAAATGGTTCCTCAATAGTTGTAGAGACAAAGCAGAGAAATTACAAACACGATTTTGCCATATCACTTTTCTAGCAAGGTTACAAGTGCTTTTTCTTGCCAATAGGTTGCCTCCTATTTGCAGATGACATTTTTGCTGGTATGGAAGTAGTCTCAGCAATGTGCAGCATTTAAAATCCTTAGTTCCAAGCAATACTGACTTGCTCTCTCTCTTTTTTTTTTTTTTTTTTGTCAGTTGTGGGGCTTGAACTCTGGGCCTGGGCACTGTCCCTGAGCTCTTCAGCTAGCTCAAGACTAGCTCTCTACCACTTGAGCCACAGCACCACTTCTGGTTTTCTGGTGGTTAATTGGAGATAAGAGTCTCAATGACTTTCCTGCTTGGGCTGGCTTTGAACCATTATCCTCATTTCTGAGCCTCTGAGTAGCTAGGATTACAGGAGTGAGCCCCCTATGCCTGGCTTATCATTGACTTTTGACAAGCAATCAGGAAGTGAATGTCGTTGCTGAAGGCTAAGAGGCCTTGAGTAAGAAAAATTCAGAACCTGCCACCAAGAATCAGGCAGAGCAGCTGAGTGTAATGTGTAATGAGAGTGGAAAAGAAGGAAGACAATTTGTGTGTGTGTGTGTGTGTGTGAGTGGGTGTGTGTGCATGTGCATATATTGACGTGTATGCCAGTACTAGAGCTTGAACTCAGAGCCTCATGCTCTCCTGTGGCTTTTTCATGAAAGGCTGGTACTCTACTTCTTAAAGCATACCCCCACACTTTCACTTCTGGCTTTTTTTGTTAGCTAATTGGAGATACAAGCCTCTCAAATTTGTCTGCCCAGGCTGGTTTTAAACCTGGATCCTCATATCTCAGCCTCCTGAGTAGCTAGGATCACAGGCATGAGCCACCAATGCCCACAGGAGAGGATAATTAAACCAATTCATCAAGCCAAACAAAACATTGCATGAATGGGGTACATGTGGCAACAGGGTAAGCTCCTTGACTAAAACTATTACTTCTACCTATTCTGGTTCTCAAACGCAAGGCCTTACCTTTTAGAGTAGGACATATATTCAAATAGTTCAAAATAAAAAAAAACCTATCAAAGAACATGCCATGGAATCTCTCCCCTGTCCCTATGCCCCACTATAGGGTAGCTGAATTTGCAAATCATTCAAAAATAATCTCTAAGGGATTCATGTTCATTTGTTTTTTCCCTGTAGAGTAGCACCACCATTGCCCAAAGATTCCTTCTTCTAGAAGTGAGAAAAAGGGGCTAGGATGTTCCCAAATACATCTAGACCAGTGGAAATGTGTCATGTATAAAATGCCTGCAGTGTTCCAGGTGTGTGGGCAGAAAACTTAAGTATCACTGATTGAATTCAGTTATGCCACTGGCCAGCACTAGACAGTCCCTAAAACATTCCCACCTTTTGAGGAGAGCCAACTGTTTTCACTTTGTCAGATCAGAGCACAGTAGAAATCAGAATTGCTTCATTGAGCAAGAGGTCACACTGAGCAAGAGGCCAGGTGGGAAGGCCACAGCTGGGGGTGGGGGTGAGGACAGCATGTTGCAATGCAACCATTTCCAGAACAGTTTCCCACGTGTCCCCCAGGGTACAGAGGTGTTTCGCTAACTTGTTAGCTGAACATTTCAAGTGTAGTGCCTCTCAGTGAGTTTCCAAGTCATGCAACAAACTAGCAATGATGGAGCAGGGCTGGAACTCAACCACAGTACCCTGTCCAGTGCTCTGTATCTGCAGATGTCATGGCACAGAGATTCAAACCACTGCACATAAAAACACTGGTAAAAGAACATTAATGTCATTAATACCATCAGTGATAAGGAAATAGTTGAGTCAACTCACTTGAGAGAGAGTTGTGAATTCTTTCCTAAGGGCTTTTGTTTCTCATCTGAAAGCACTATACACATTTCATATTACTTTTAAAATGGTATTTACCAAAGTCACAGTATCTCGGATGCAGAGAATTCCACATTTAGCTATTGACATGAGCCACAATCCGTGTAAAGACAGAGAGAGCCTTCCTGGTCCATATTGTTTGCTTTGCATTTTTTGGAATGGCTTAAGAACACAAACACCAATATGTTCCTGCCAATAAAAGAAGAGAACTATGTTATAGAAAACATGAGGAGCAACTTTGGGTCTGCAGATGTACATAGATTATAGAATCTGAGAACACTGTCCATTGAAATGAACCAGGATCAAGTAGACACCTGTGTTTATGTCTTTGTTTGCAAATAAAAGTTTGTTTCTGCTACTGTATAAGAGCTCAACCTACACTGACAATCTTTAGTCTACAAATTATTTTAATACATCATGTGCAATGAAATGAAGCCATTACTAGCTCATTATGTATCTTATCCCTCTCCCTCCCTCCCCCCCCTCATGTGTGGTCCTAGGACTTGAACTCAGGGACTAAGCACTGTCCCTGAGCTTTTTTGCTCAAAGCTAGTGCTTCACCATTTAAATCATAGCTCCACTTCTGGCTTTGTTTGAGTAATTTATTGGAGAAAAGATTCTCACAAACTTTTCTGATCTTTCTTACCCAGGCTGGCTTTGAATCTTGATCTTTAGATCTCAGCCTCCTGAGTAGCTAGGATTACAGGTGTGAACCACCAGTGCTGGCCCTATCTTTATTTTTTAAGGTAGGATCTCTCACTTTTGTCAAAGCCAGCCTTGGACCAAACTCTTATCTCTGCTCTGCCTCTTGAGCACCTCGCTTGGCCAGCCCTCCATGTTTATCTAGTCATCAAAGCTCAGTTTAAATATTCCTTCCTCCATCACACTTTTCTTGACTCTTTCCTGCCACAAACCATTTCTTAGTTTTCTCAATTTCAATGCTAAATGCCAGGTATTCTGAGATAGAAGGAGGTTTACCGAAGAATTTAGAGCAGACAGAGAGATACTGTTGGACCCAAGATAAGAATCAGTGAGATGGGGGGGAGGCTGGGAAGGGAGGTGAAGGGTAAACAAAAGGAGGAAACTGCAATGCTTGGTAAAAAATGTATGCATTATCCTGCCCATGTAATTGTAACCCCTCTGTATAGTATGTTCACAAATAAAATTAAATTAAATTAAAAAAAAAGAATCAGTGAGATGCTGACTGGCTAAGGACAGTATGCAGAAGGTCATTGTGGAGGGCCTTTGTGTGACACAACATGGAAGAAGGCTAAAGAAAGAGTGATGAAAACATGTCAGAAGCACAATTTAACTATTTTATGCCATTTTGCTTGGGGCTAGAGTACAAAATTCCACCAAAAATCATCTATAGATGTTAATACCTATGGAATAGAGCTAATGCTAGAATTTTTCTTTAGACAAAGAAACCAATATTGTATCATCTGCATGACTATCTAACAAGTATGATATATGTGTTACAAGTGTTAAAGTCGTTTGAATGTATTTTATGATGGATTAACAAATAACACTGGGATATATCTAATTAAAGGGACTTATGTTAATATAATAAAGCCATTATCAATCGGACTATTCTGTGGAAGCAAATAGAGCATATATACATATATATATAAAGAGAAAGATCGATCCTCAGAACTAAGCCTCCTGAATAGGTAGCACTACAGTCATGAGCCACTGGTGCCTGGCTCGGATCACTTTCAAATCTTGTAAGACAAATGGAAATGCAGTTCTGTTTTCACATACTGTTTCAGGAATAAGATAGCTACAGATGTATGGAACTTGACTACAGAAGCCATAGATGCGATTGTTTTGAAAGCCCAGGACCGCAGAAGACAGCGCGTGCTCCGTTTCGTACAGGAACTTATGAACCAGCACGTCTTGCAGCCTCCCCCTTTCGTCGGAAAAGCCTGTAGAAACTGCAAGATTTGGGAAAGAAAAGACATCACTATATTTTACTTAAAGCAACAGAACAAGAGGTATCACAAAATGCCACACCAATTTGATATAGCAGTGGATTCTATATTCCTTTTCTCTGATAATAATACAGACTTGTGAGTCACAAGGCCTAGAAAAAACTCCATGTTTCAAATTGTTTGACAACCACATCCGTTTTTCTTTGTAAAGATGTACATTTTTGCCTCTTCACATGCTAAGAAAAATAATGCTATGACTACAAAAACAAAAACAACAAGAAGAAAACCAGAAAATAACTAGGGCAAACAGTTTATTTAGGTCCAGGAAGAATGAGTTGGGTTGCTCCTTTTTCCTTACCTTGTGGTAATATTTTAGGCAGAGTAAATATTTCCAGCCTGCTGCTTCCTGTTTCTGGAAGTGGGGAAAGTACCATCACTTCTACTAAGTCTCTTTCCAGAATAGACACTGTGGATATCTGTAGGATTTCTTTACCTGACTCTGAAAGCAAATGGAAATCAATCCATAAGTTGTCACTGGTTAAATTTAGGAAATCTTTTAATCTGGGTATGATTGTACACCCCTCTAATCCCTGTAATTGGGAGACTGACACAGGAAAATCTCAAGTTCCTGGCCAAGAAGTTCTTGGGAGACCCTGCTTCAAAACTTCCTGACTTTAAGAACTTTTTCCCATTTCAATTAAGATATCACATAATAGCTAGGTGCCAGTGACTCATGTCTGTAATCCTAGCTACTCAAGGGGCTGAGATCTAAGGATCATGGTTCAAACTAGCCCAGGCAGAAAAGTCCATGAAGCTCTTATCTCCATTTAAACTTGCAAAAGCTCAAAGCAGAGCTGTGGCTCAAGTGTTAGAGTGTTAGCTTTGAGTCCAAAATTCTCAGGGACAGCACTCAAACTGAGTTCAAGCTTCAGAACCAGCATACCCACACACAAATATGTATCAATACACTTGCCTTCACTTAGTCTCTAGTATCAAATTTGTTTACTGATATTTAAAAAGGTCCCTTTAAAAATAAAGTACATAAGGAACGGTTTTGAGGCTATTTTTCCTGCATTAGTGTCTGGACTGACATTTCCAAACAGCTTGGTTTTGCTCCGGCTCTTTCCCAATTAGGGTGCTTTCTAAAGCCCACCATATCTGATGAGAATCTGCACTGTTCTCAACCCAATTCTGCCTTCATGTTCCACTCACCCCCACCCCCTTGAGGCCAGTTCTTAGATAAACATTATCACTGGCTCTTTCTAAAAGTACACATTGCCCCTGGACTGTCTGTGGTCATTGCTTGATTTCACAACCCCCTTCCCTCTGCGCTCCTAGTATCTATAACTTTGCTTGGTGGTACCTGATGCCCCTCTCCAGCGATGATTAAAGTCTGGTCTGATCTGTTCAGGCCTCTGTCTCCTTCCTATCCTTTCGTCCATTTGATCTTTCCTGACAATATCTACCCTGCTCATCTATGCCCCCTGTGCTTTAGAACCTCACGTGCCAACTACAGACATCTCACCACTGTTTCTTTTTCTTTTTTTTCTTGGAATACCATGGCTTGAACTTAGGACTTTGTGTTCTTACACAGCTTTCATGCTCCTGACTGGCGCTCTTACCTACTTGAACCATAGTTCCACTCTGATATTTTGCTTGTTATTTGGAGTCTCATAGATTTTTCTTCCTGTGCTGGCTATGAATGGAAATCCTCCAGGTCTCAGCCTCCTGAGGAGCTAGGATTTCAGATGTGAGCCACTGGCACTGAGCTTGCGTGCCAGTTCCCCCACTATAACACTGGATGTTAAACTCAGACAGCAATATTCTTTGCATCAGTGATCAAGGGACTGCAGATGTGCCGGAAGTATACATGATTAGCAGTTGGCTCCTCTTAGAATCCAGCTAGTCTGACCTTGGCCAGGGGCGCCATGCCTGGAGCTCACCATAGGTTCATTTCATACTTACCTGGCATCCTAGACAGTGCTATTTGCCTAGTCAGCCTTCTTCAGGTATTCAGTTGATTGCATTCCTCCTTCTTTATAAAGGAAGCCCAAGGGCATATCACAGAAAGTCAGCCTTGATGGCTTTATCCAGAAACACATACTTTCTCAGTTTTCGTCCTCTTTTGTTTCTTCATACTAATGTAGCAATCAGTCTCAGGTCCTAGCTGTGATTTTTTTAGCCCATCATTATAATCTTCAATTGGACCACACACTATCTCTTAACCATCTTTTATTTTTACTTTTTAGTTTTCAGAGCTGGTGATTAACTCAGTTTTATGCCAACACTCTTCAATAGTAAGTCATGTTCCCAATCCTCAATCACCTCTTTTTTTTTCTTTTTTTGCTGGTTGTGGGGTTTGAACTCTGGGCCTGCGCGCTGTCCCTCAGCTCTTCAGCTTAAGGCTAGTACTCTACAACTTGAGCCACAATGCCACTTCTGGCTTTTTCTGTTTATGTTGTGCTAAGGAATCGAACCCAGGGCCTCATGCATGCGAGGCAAGCACTTTACCACTGAGCCACCTTCCCAGCACATCAGTCACCTCTTTTTATGTTCAGTGTTCCTTATGGCTTCTTATAATGTTCCTGAAGGATGCTTAGCTCTTCAGCTAAGAACTTTCCTTTCCTTTCTGCCTCCTCTCAGCCATTACCATCTGATCCTCTTTCCCTTCTGCAAACTTCTGAAAACAAACTTGCCACTTAACGAACTTTATTTTCTCACCCCCATTCCCTCTCTAATCTCTTTCAAGGAGCATCCACTGATTGGCAAATACACAAGGACATCTGCCCAGTCCTCATCCTACTCATACTTTGGTCACTGTATCTCATCTAGCCTTTTTTCTTTGAGCTCTTTCTGGCAGTGTTGCTATCCCTCCCTCAGTTGCTCATTACTTGTGCCCATCCTTGGTTTTTCTTGCCTCATTATCTCTCTGCGGACAGCTTCAGCCTAAAACATGAATCAGTGTTCTATTCTCAGCTTCTCCCATCCTAATCACTAACCAATGAGATAGGTTAAAAAGTGGCAGGCTCTACATTTACTTCGAGGTCTGGCACAGGGTCTACTCCACTAGGTTCATTAATGTACATATTTAGGTTACCTGTTTGGCCCCAGGTAGCATGTAAATGTACTTCTCCTCTGTCTTCTTGGGCCATCTTATTGGCTTCCATGTTTTCAAGATCATAATTCTATCACTGAATAGCTTGAATACAAAATTCCCCTACAGGACTCATGTGTTGCACACTTGGCCTTCAGCTGGTGGTACTATTTTGGGAGATACTGGAAAGTTTAGGAAATGGGGGCCTAGCCACAGGAAGAAGGTCACTGGGGGTATTCCTTTGAGGGTTGTGGCAGGTACCTGCTCCCCTCCCCGTTCTCTGCTTCCTGTTCACCATAAGGTGAAGAAGGCCCTCCACCTTAAGTTCCAGTCATCATAATGTTCTAGTCAAGTGTACAGGGAAAACAGCCATGGATGGACTTCTTATAACCGTGAGCCAAAATAACTCTCAGCCAGGCATGGAAGCTCACCCTCATAACACAGCTACCAAGGAGGTGGAGATCAGGACAACTTTGGCTTAAAGTAGCCCAGGCACAAATTTTGTAAGATCCCCATATCAACCAACAAAAGCTGGATATGGTGGCACATACCTGTGATCTAGCTAGAATGGCATGCATGTACCATCACACCCAATGTAATTTGAGATGGAGTCTCTTAGACTTTTCTGCCCCGACTCTCACAGAATCATGATCTTCCAGATTACAGCTAAGACTACAGTTATGAACTATAATAAAATACTGATTATAATACGTTAAATACACATACATTCTGTGTTGTACCTGTGAATCCAAGAATCTTAAATAAACTTGAGGGCTTGGCATTGATAATAAAGAGCTTTCCTTCTGCTGTTCCAGCAAAAAGAAACAGTCCTAGCTGGTCAAAACTAGAAAAGAAGAAATTTGATGATTGTCAGATCCTACTCATTTCCCTAGCTATATAGCAAGCTAGTTTATTGGATGAATGGCCAAGGAGTACATCAAAACTAAACAAAACAAAAATCCAAACCTTTTTTAGGGGCATTGTGGGGAGGGGGAGAAGAAGCAGTACTAAGCTTTTAAAGTCAGAGCCTCTCCCTTGCTCGGCAAACACCATGCCAGAGTGCCTCCAGACCATTTTCACACTGGTTAGTTTGGGAATAGGCTCTTAATTTTTATCAGGTCTGGTACCTGGACTGCAATCCTCCTATTTTATGTTTTCAGATGTAACTTGGATGACTTGCGTGCACCACCATAAGCAGCGGTTTCTCTTGAGAAGACTTATGAGCAATTTTTTTTGCCTGGGATGGCTGCAAACTACTATCTTACCAATCTCAGCCTTCTGAGTAGCTGGGATTATAGGTATAAGCTACCGTACCTGCTTCAAATCAGTCATTCTCTTGGTTTGTGATTGTTAATGTTCTCTGATTTTGTGAATCTCAAGTGATGACATGTAGGTGGACTCATTATACTTGAGGCTAGTCTAATCACAGTGGCTAAGTGCACAATCAGGGTGATACAGGAAAGTCAGGCAGGCAACTGTTTCTTTATAAATGAGTGAAAATGTTTTGGAGAGTTGCCTCAATGTTTCAAGGAGAAATAAGGGATTCTGGAAATGGATGATGGTGTGATGTTTCAGCACACTGTGACTGGTACCTGGCAAGAGGAGGAAGAATTTAGTGTGAGGTTTTTCTCCCTCTGAGAACAGTGGCAGTGGTGGCCCGCACACATGCAATGTTAGCTATGGGTCTGAAGCTATGGAGTCTGAAGCCAGCCTGGACAGACAAATCCAACAGACTCATCTCCAGTTAACCAGCAAAAAGCTGAATGTAGAGGCAAGGCTCAAGAGGTAGTATATCAGGATTGAGTGAAAAAAAACCAAGTGAGAAGTTAAAGCCTCGCATTCAAGCCCCAATACTGGCACACACACACACACACACACACACACACACACACACACACAATGTCAGCAAGTTATTTATACTCTTTGTGCCTTACTGTCCTCATCTGTCAAATGAGTCTTTGCTTCATGGAACTAACAACAGAAATGCCTGTGCCACTCTGAGCGCTGAAAGATTACTGAAAGATTATTTGCATAAGTGAAAGGAAGTATATGTGTTGATGCTTGAGTAAGGATAAAATGTCTTTGGAAAGACACACAAGAAATTGGTAACAGGCTTCTAGGGAGAGAACTGGATGTGTATGGATTTCCCACTGCACAGTCCTCTGTAGGTTCTGATTGCTGAATGGAATGACTATGTTAATATTCAAAACAAGTGAAATATATAAAACATTAAAGCAATCAATGGCTTCACAAGAACCCTCCCCAGACAGGCCTGGCCAAAGTGCTCCCAGAAGCAGGAGGTGCTTACACAAGGTGGTGCACGGGCGACTCGGAGAGGAAGGACTTGTGAACCACTTCTGGGTATTCCTCGTCCTGGATGTCCAGGAAGTACACACAGCCGTCCATAGTCCCCACGGCAGCAGATAAAGAAGAGGGAGAGCATGCCACAGTTGTTGTCTGTTAAAGATGAAAGCCCAGACAATGAAAGCTGCTCTCCTGCATACAAGGAGCCTGTTGGGCTGGGGAGACAGCTGAATGGCAGAGCGTGCACTTAGTATATATGAGGCCCTGGGTTCCAAACTCTGCAGGAAAAAAATGTCTTCAAGGGTTTGAAAGAATGAGAAGACTGGCAACTGTGTTCTGCTAAGGATCTCAAATGATCCACTCTACATTCCTGACAAAAGAAATGCATAAGCAGTCACAGGAATCTGTACCTTTTATTTTCCTTTCTTTTCTGTCTTGGGGTTTGAACCCAGGGCTTTCCACTTCTAGGTAGACTCTCTAGCCCTTGAGCCATGCCCCTAAACCTGTTATTCTCTTATCTACAATTTGGATTGATAGAATATCCGTAGAATCATGTTTATCCCTAAATGACAATGAAATGGCTATGGCAATAGTCTATCTAAACAATTACAAAACAGACTAAGTAATGAAAATAAAATAAGAATCTTTATATTTCAAACATGTTCACAGAATATTAGTGATTTTTAAAATCAGCATCATCTCTTGATGTATTTGTGCAACTGAGGAAGAATTAGAAATTGGACCATGTATGCAGGTATTAAAGAGATTCACAACTGAGCCAGTTGTGCTGAACATCTATAATCACAGCTTTTGGGAAACTGCTTCAAGAGAAAGGGAAGCTGGGCCAAATAGAAAACTGCAGACCATCCTGAGCTATATTGTCAGGCAGGGAAGGAAAGAGGGAGGGAGGGAGATAGGGAAGGAGGGAGGGAAGGAGGGAAGGAAGGAAAGAAGGAAGGAAGGAAGGAAGGAAGGTAGGCAGGCAAGCAGGCAGGCAGGCAGGAAGGCAAGCAGATTCGTGTTTAGCTAATAATTATTCATATGGAATACATCTAAGAAAATAAACTCACTGCATTAATACTTAATGCTTCCTTCCTCTTGAACCATCTAGGGCTGTGTAATGCAGTATCTGACAATAATATAAACACTTAGCATTACTACTGTTTCTTGGTCCTTTAATTTTGTGACATTATTAGCATACAAGAGGTACTATGTACATGGCAAAAGTAATAGCACAGACTACTGGAAATGTAAAAATGTAGTCAGATTGGATTAGAATTGTGTGTGTGTGTGTGTGTGTGTGTGTGTGTGTGTTTGTGTGTGTGTGTGTGTGTTCAAGCCTCAGTCCTGGGACCTAGAAACTGTCCTTGAGTTTTTGTTCTTAAGGTTAGTAGTCTACCACTTGAGTCACAGCTCTACTTCTGGCATTTTGGGTACTTAATTGCAGATAATTACACATCGATTTTCCTGCCTAGGCTGGCTTTAAACTATGATCCTCATATCTCATCCTCCTGAGCAGCTAGGATTACAGACATGAGACACTGGCATTCAGCTTCTTCCTGGCTCAATTAAATTAAAAAAATTATACTTAATTAGTTGTACAAAGGAGAGTTGCCATTCTCTACAAATCAGTCCATTTCAATCTATGTCACCCCTTCAACATTCTCACCCATCCTTCCCGCAGATCATTTTTTTAAAAATAATTTATCTGGGTACACTTACTGCGGTTTTCAGATAAAGCTTGCTTAGACAAGTACAATCCTCCATGGACCAAATATTAACTTCTCCAGAAGCTGTGATTGTCTGCAAAAGAAAAAGAAAAAGAAAGAAACTGAATGGAAACCAAAACTGTCACGTGCAAACATGTTCTAAGCTACAGACTGATGAGTCAAAAAAAATGTTCACTGCAGTTGTGTAGGTTATAAAAAATTGTTTTATAATGTCAACATCAACATAAGTAACATGTAACTAAGTAGGATTAGAAAATAATATAAAGAATTTTTGCACTGGGCACTGGTGGTTCAGGAGACTGAGATCCGAGGATCGTGGTTTGAAACCAGCATGGGCAGGAAAGTCCATGAGACTCTTATCTCCAATTAATCACCAGAAAACCAAAAATGGATTTGTGGCTCAAAGCAAAAGAGCTAAGGAACAGCACCCAGGCTCTGAGTTCAATCTCATGACTGACAAAATAAAAAGATTTTTGCATGAAAATATTTAACATAAAGGTTACAAGGAAGTCTTAAGTTACAAGGTGAAAGTTATGAGGAAAGCCTAGCAATAGGGAATTATATATAGTTCTTTTTAAAATTAGATTTATTTTTAGAGTAGTTTGAAGACTAGAAAAATAGAGCAGAGCATAAATTCCCTTTTCCTTCCATGGGTACATAGTCCAAGGTTATTTAAATTTTCTCTTATGTTTTATAATTTTGCATTTTACAAGATCTATCTATGATCCATTTTGAATTTTGTCTTATGAAAGGTTTAAGATTGTGAGATTTTTTTTGCATGTCATGTCCAACTTGTTTTAGGCCTATTTGTTGGAGAGACATAGTGAAAATAGTATTTTTGATCTCTTTTCAAATATCAGCTTACTATATCTATACAGGCTTATTTTTGGCTTTCTGTTCTGTTCCATTGATCTTTTTGCAGTTTATTCTTTCACCAGTACCACACTACCTTAATATTATAGTTTTATATTGTCTTCAAGTCATATTTATGTCAATCTCTGACTCCATACTTTAACATTGTATTGATTATTTGGGGTCTTTTACATATCTCTACAAATTTTAGAAGTAGTTAATTCATTTTCACCAAATAACTTGCTGAGATTTTGTTTTGAATGCTATTGAATCTATAGATTAGGATAGGAAGAACTGACATATTGACACTATTGAACCTTTCAGCAATGCTTGAATCTTTCTCCATTGATTTCCATCTTTGAATTTTCTCCTTAGGGTTTTGTACTTTATTCATAGAGAGCTTATACATCTGTTGTTAGACTTATACTGAGCTTATCTTCTTAGTGCTGATGTAAATAGTATTGTAGCTTTAATTTCAAATTTGCTACAGATACGGAAGAACACAGTCGACTTTTCTGTATATCAAACTTTCATCAAGCAACCTTGCTGCAATCACACTGTTCTGTGGAGGCCAGTCATCTGAGAACAAAGATACTTTTGCTTCTTCCTTCGCAGTCTGTATACCTTTTACTCCTGTCTTATTGCATTACTTCAGACTTGTAGTCTGATGATGAATGTAAGTATATACCTTAACTATGATGTCACAAATGTGTAGATGTTCTTTCAGGTCTTGAACTCAGAACCTTAAACTCCTGTCAGTTTTTGGTTTTTTGCTTCTTTTTTTTTTTTTTTTGCTCATGATTAGCTCTATTTCTGGTATTTGATTGGCTGCTTGTAGGTGGAATGTCGCAACACATCAAAACTCAGAGCTTGGTTGGCAAATATAAAGTGGGTGGCTTCTAAGATCTTACTGCTTTGCTATTTTTCAGGAGGCAAAACTATGAGGTTATAATGTGATGATGTCACTCTAACAGAAGAGGAGATTTAACAATGGATGTGCTTGCTATTCCTGCTGTTATTTTCAAATATACCCTCTGACTCTCATTTGCATTGCTTTTGCAAATTCCAAAGTTATGCAATTACATGTGGACAGAATTTAAATCTTGAAACATTATATTTTCTTTTTTTAACAGTATATTGCAGTTTATTCACCCTTACATTTTTATTTCTTTACTGGATACCAATGTCAATATTGACTTTCATAAAGCAGTGAATAATATTTCCACTGGGAAGAAGAGAGGAGAGGATATTTCCAGGTCAACAAGTGACAGTGAAATTGATGTACAAGGGTACAAATGATAAGAAGTAAAAAAAAATCAGTATTTATTTGATTATTTATAGGACATAAATTAAATTAGAAAATATCTGTTAAAATGTCCTGCAAAGTAAAGAATATGGTATTTGATGTCCTTGGAATCATGTTTGACATTATGGACAAAAACATCCAATGTAATATCTAGTCCCTGCTTTAAGAGATCTCATGGTCATATTCAAAGATTGAATTAGTATGTAACAGCGCAAGAGCCATTAGGAGAAGAGACAATCTTATTGTTTGCAATAAAATATTTTTACCATGAAGAATTTGTTTCCAGGAGTGATAAAGTCAACCGCCTGAAAATTCCCATCACAAGCAACTAGGATCTTATTTAATGGTGTCTTCTCATCAAAAGCGTAGCCATAAATAGATCCCTGAAGCACAGAGAGAAAAGAAACACATTACAATTATTGCATGTTGAGTTCAAGAAATATTTATTATATGCTTACTGCAAGACACTTAAAATCTAGATACTAGAAGGGTGCTGGTGACTCATCCCTGTAATCCTAGCTACTCAGGAAGCTGAGATCTGAGGATTATGATTTGAAGCCAGTCAGGGTAGGAAAGTATGTAAGACTCTTATCTCCAATAAGCTACCAGAAAAGGCCAGAAGTGGTTCCATAGAGCAAGTGGCAGAGTGCCAGCCTTGAGCAAAAGAAGCTCAGGGACAATGTCCAGGCCCAGTGGAAGCCCCAGAACTGGCAATCAATCAATCAATCAATCGACAAAATAATAATAATCTACGGGCTGGGAAGATGGCTCAGTGGTAGAGTGCTTGCCTTGTGTGCATGAGGCCCTGGGTTTGATTCCTCAGCACCACATAAGCAGAAAAAGCTGGAAGTGGCAGAGTGCTCACCTTGGTGTTCAACCGACAAAAAAAATAAAAAAAAATAAAAAATAATAATCTAGATACTCAAATTCTTTGTTTATTGATTGCTGTTCATTCATTCAACATTCATTCCTGGTGGATTTAACCATTTATTTCAAAATAATACTATTCATCTTAGTATATTTTTTGCCTTAAAAACTATTTTGTCTAAAATAATTCAAGATAAATTTTTTCCATCTTTTTTGCTTTCGATATTAAAACATAGTTTGTTATTGTTGCTGTTGTTGTGCATGTGCATGAGCGCACACACATGCTCCTGTGTGCGTGTGTATTTGTGTACAGTTCCTGGGGCTTGAACTCAGGAACTGTACACTGTCCCTGAGCTTTTTTTGCTCAAGGCTAGCACTCTACCACTTAAGCCACAGCTCTATGTCTAGCCTATTGGTGGTTAAGACTGGATAAGATTGTCACAGACTTTCCTGCCCAGGCTGGCTTTGAACTATGATCATCAGATTTCAGCCTTCTAAGTAGCTAGTACAGGCTTGAGCCACTAGAGCCCAGCTTGCAGTTGAATTTAAAAAATAGAATATAGTAATCTCTGCCTGTTGATTTGACACTTATTAAAATTACTAATATACATTAGTTCAAATGTAATATCTTAAGCTTCCTAGTTACTCATCTGTTTTTCTTTTTTTTAACCTTTTGGATTTTTTCTTTATTAAACATTTCACCTTTTCTTTCTATAGTTTGAAAACATCATCTATTGGTTTCATTCTTTAAATAGTTATCTTAGAAGTCACAACATTCATATTTGTCAACATCAAAAATTACTTTAAGTAAACTTTACTGTCCTCCTGGGAAATACAAGAGCTTTGGGGTATTTTGTTTCACTTATTCTCCTCCTCTTCCTCCTTCTTTTTCTTCATTTTCAAGCTTGGTAAGTGATCTACCACTTGAGCTTCTACACATCCAGCCCTTTTTTTCCTTTGATTATTTTTGAGATTGGGTCTTATTTTTTCCTCTTGCCAATTTGGATTACAGTCATCCTATTTATGTTTCCTATCATACCTGGGGTGTGACAAGTGAACAGGAATCTACCCAGCTTTTTCTTTTGAGATAGAGAAGCAGGGTAGGGGGAAGGAGTCTCATAAACTTTTTTCTCAGGCTGGCTTAGAACCATGACCCTCTTGATCTCAAACTCTTAAGTAGCTGGAATTGTATGTACTGATACAAGATGCAGATCTCACAAACTGGACTAGCCTGAGCTGCAAGCCTCCCAAATGCTGCCTACCAGGGATTACAGGCAAGAGCCTGTTGAGCAATGCTGATAATAGTATTATCTGAACGTTGTTTGTCAAGGAAAAAAAGAAAAAAAGAAACTTCTCTAACATACCTTTTCTGTTTGAATCAGCAATGTTTTATAATTGGGAGAAAATACCAAATGTTCCACAGGTTCCTTCATGGTGAGAAGATTCTCTACGCTGTATTTTGAATCTTTAACAATGAAAGAGTACAACACACCATCCTACAGACCAAACACAATGAGATAAGTGTAGAAGTATAGAAAGCCAGTCTTGGTCAATGCATTCTCATCAGACAAGCAGAGCCTCATGGGTAACCATTCATTGCTTATTTGGGATCACCATCTGTGTTGTCATTACTAGAACACATTTTCCCTCTGTCTTTAAGCAACTTTAAACCATATTCCTTTGTCAGAGCTTCAGTGTTAGGCCTTTGTGACCCATGTTTCAATGACCTAAGATTTTGCTGGTCATTCCTTTCCTTGAGTGTGGGAGCCCTAGAGCCCTGGGCCGACTGTGACCAGCTGCAGGAGATATGATAGGTGTGGTTAGAGGAAAACCCTGGCTGTGTAACTGCAGAACATTTGACCTTCTGCAGTAATCCTGTCAAAAGGCAGGAATGTGAACCAATTTTACTGCTTCCTGACATCCTGGATCTGTTACCCAAAGCACTTATCTTTCTGTATCCTAATATCCTGTTATCTACCTCTTGGAATATGCCCTTCTGATCTGTGCTCTTAAACTAGTCCTGGGACAATCCACCCTGTAAAAGCAGAAGCTGAGGGAGACTTCTTCAGTTTAAGCATGTCTGACAGTTAAACTCATTCTTCACCCCATTGTGTTATTTAGATTATGAAATGGCATTGCAGGCCATTTCTTTACCTGTCGCCTCTGTATCTGCTGGATGGAACTGGCATTTGAGCATCTTTAACATCTACTTCCTTAACACATTCTTTACCATTCAGACAGTAGAACAAATGAGGCAGTGTGTGTGGCTTCTGTATGGAAGTCTCCTTAATTCAAAGGATCCCTAAGTATATCCATTAATCATTATGTATATGTATATATATATATGTATATATATATATATATATACTCATACATACAATACATACATATATATAATCAGCTGTGGGGCTAGAACTCAGGGCCTGGGCACTGTCCCTGAGCATTTTTGCTCAAGGCTCTACCACTTTGACGCACAGCACCATTTCTAGTTTTCTGGTGGTTAATTGGAGATAAGAGTCTCACGGACTTTTCTGTCCAGGCTGGCTTCAAACTATGATTCTCAGATCTCAGCCTCCTGAGTAACTAAGATTATGGGTGTGAGCCACCAGCACCCAGCTAACATGTGCATTTCTTATCTCCCTACATGACATAAGAATAGGATGCCTTTGTTTTCTTTGTATCCTCTTCTCTAGTTCTGCACATAGTATTAAGACATGGTAGGTGTCAAAAATATGCCAATCATTTGGTTGGCTGTAAATAGATTTATGTCAGTTTTAAATCCCAAGAAGACATGGAATTATTTTTAAAGTAGTTAAGAAGGGTTTTATTCTAGATAAAACCCTATTATAACTAAGAATAGATATTTATGAAATGTTGGATACAGATTCTTGGGACCTGGGAAGGAAACATAAGGTGTTATCTCCAAGCTATTATCCATCCCTCACCAGAGCAAGTGCTACAACCATTTAAGTTAAAACAAACACTGAAGGTGGCCTTGAAGAGGAGAAGAGTCACAAAGATCACAAGTAGAGACTAAATGTAAAAAAAAGGGGAGGGTGTTTTCCACTGCCAAATTGGGAGAGGGATATGGGAGCCGAGTGTAGGCATACGAGCTCAAGACAACTTCTGGTTGGCTTTCATCCTAGTCATGGACTAGGGATGGCTAGTACTATACTTGAGACTTTAGTGCAAGTCATTTACAGACCTTAGCATTGAGTCCAGCAACATGAAAACACCATTTTCTACCTATTAGGGCTCTGTGTTCTAATAAATGAGAGAATAGACTTTTAAAGGTGACACCATTGGGCCCAAGCCTAGCTCCTCAACTTCTTTGCTGGTGGCCTCTGAGACTTTACCAATATGAGCATAAGGAAGAGGCCAAACTTCTACCTGATAAAATTGTTATGAGAACCAATAAAACAACAGAATTAAAGCAAAGTGCTAAGTAACTAACACATCAATGGGGGGGCATTAATTCTATTTCTAATTCTACTGGCAACAGTAACAATATGATATGTATAAGCTTTATAATCATGCACAAGAGCCTAAGCTGAAGTGTAGATAAAAGGTCTAAGTTCACACCTGACAGTAAATTGTTATAAAAAATGGAAAACAAGCTGGGTGCCAGGGGGCTCACACTTGTAATCCTAGCTAATCAGGAGGCTGAGATCTGAGGATTGTGGTTTGAAACCAGCCAGGGCAGGAAAGTCGGTAAGACTTGTACCTCCAATAAACTACTCAGAAAAAGTGGTGCTATGGCTCCAGTGGTAGAGTGCTAGCCTTGAGCACAAAGAGGCTCGGAGTTGAAGAACCAGGACTTGCAAAAAAAGAAGAAGCTATTTCCTAATGATTATAGGCTGTAAGCATTTCTTACAGATAGGGTAAGAATGACTGTTTTAGAATGACTCTATTTTTATTTACAAACAAACCTGTGGTAGTCCATTACCTGTCTTTTCTACTTTTGTATATAATTGAAAATTTTCATAATAAATTTTATAAAAGCATCCAATGAGGGGGCTGGGAAGGTGGCTCAGTGGTAGAGCGCTTGCCTTGCATGCTCAAGGCCCTGGGTTCGATTCCTCAGCACCACATAAGCAAAAAGAAAAAGCCGGAAGTGGTGCTGTGGCTCAAGTGGTAGAGTGCTAGCCTTGAGCTGAAGAGCTGAGGGACAGCGCCCAGGCCCAGAGTTCAGGCCCCACAACCGGACCAAAAAAAAAAAAAAGCATCCAATGAGAAAACATTTTAAATAATAATCTGGCTGTACTTGACATCCCAAAATAAACCCAAAAAGGTAACTGGCAATACATGGAAATTGTGTTTTTTCATGAAAGTAATTCATTTTGAAAATAAGATACATTACAATTCCAGAAACAATGATGCCATCCTTCTGATATACCAAGATGCTTGGACTGATAAGTTTTACTCCATCCTCTTGGAAAAGAAAAACAAGAAAAAATAGATATAACATGATTAGAAGAACAATATACCAATGAATAATCAAAACTGCTTAATAACATTCACTATATTAATGAAACAAGTTGTTTTGAATTTCAGAACCATCAGATCTATGCAACTAATATTAAGAATTAGATGGTGGGTATATCCCACTTTTTAGGAAAGTATTGTGAGAGGTCTGAAGAAGCTGAGGTACAAAAACCCAACACACCAAAACCATACTACTATTATCAAGCAATATACTAAAGAGGTATGCATTTTGTGACATGTAAGTTTATATATTAACAAGTTAAAGCACAGAGGTAGAACAACAGTAAAAAGGGGAAAACGTTTCCATAAGATCATGTGTTATTAATATCATCCTTAGGGAAATATAAAAAGTATAGTGTCTTCTTATGTAGACAAGCAATGAGAATTACAAAGGCTCAAATATTTACTGCATACTTTGTGTCTGACATTTTGCTGGGTGCTGTACTAAGTGGTACACTGGAGTGCTCATTTCCCAGCAATCCCTTCTTCTCCAATCTAAGTGCCATTGGAATCTAGGTTTTTAGAGCTCCTTGCCTGGTCTAGGTGCTTGCTACTTATAGTCACCTATTTATCTAAGTTTATTCTGAAATTGTGGCTAAATTAATTTGCTAAAGCATAATTCCAATGGGAGGGCCATCCACATTCAGTACTTTTTTATATCTGTCCATGATCAGGTGAAGAAAGTACAAATGCTTTGGCTAGATATGACAGGTAAGATATGGTAAGATGACCCTATGTTCTTTGTAACAATGATCCAGACAAACTAGTTCAGTTCTTGTTCCTCATCCATCCCATGTTTACTTGGCCATACAGATACCATGTCAAAATTCCTTGGGCTGGGAAGGAGGCTCAGTGGTAGAGTGCTTGCTTTGCATGCATGAGGGACCCTGGGTTCAATTCTTCAGCACCACATAAACTGAAAAAGCTGGAAGTGGTGCTGTGGATCAAGTGGTAGAGCGCTAGCCTTGAGCTGAAGAGCTGAGGGACAGTGCCCAAGCCCAGAGTTCCAGCCCTACTACCGACAAAAAAAACTCCACTCACCCACATTTCTGCCTGTGAACCCCTTTCCCAAAAGCCAGTCCAACTGCCACTTTCAAGATGACTTAGTTTTGGATGTCTTCTCTCATCTGAACCCCTCCAATGCTATATGATTCTCTCCTAATGAAATCATATTCATGTTAAACTTCCTGTCTGTTAATTATTTATCTTTTGGCATTACTACAACCTAAGTCTCTTAAGAATGGAAATTATGTGGCAATGCAGTTGTCATGGATGTAACCTTGAATGCACCTTGCTTTGTATCTTCCATAGTGTAGAGGCTTGATCAATATGTGCTTGAAAGCACATATTTGTAATAGGATTCAGCAAAGAAATAGTGAACAAAATAAGACAATGTGTGATTAAGTTCTAAATTGTATAAAATGTGCTAGATTGTAGATGTAAAGTATGGATAGGAATTTGGAAATGAGCAACACAATTTAAAAATTCAATGTACAAACAGTTGTAGGTGTTAGCTCATTGTGTAATAATATCTAAGATTAGATTTCAGAGCAAAAAAACCCAGCCATTCAGAATGCCCTCAGATTGCTGCTGATTAATAGGGCAGACAGACAGATGACCACAGACATACGTGAGGCCCCAGTGAAGAAGTGGAGCACACCCAATTCCAGACAGGGGCATCTAATTGCATCAAAGGTTGGGGCAAGGCTAGGTGGGCTCCACACAGGAGACAAGTGGACAAATTTTGCCACGTAGACAAGAAAGACAGCAGCATCCCAGACATGGGTAACTATAAAAGACAACCAATAAAATTTATAGAGTCAGCACAGGAAGAATGAGAAATTTTTGAGAGGTTGGAGTGGGAGATGCTGCAAACAGAAAAACATAAAGAGTCTTCAGAGGGCTGGCACTGCTTATGCTGGATTAGAGGGAGGCCCACCTCTGCCTAGGGTGGCTGGCAGTCAGAGAAAATGGTGAGGAAGTATGGATCAGGCAATGGTTAGGGAGCAGACAAGACCCATTGCAGGTAGGGAGGTTACACTGGAGGGGGAGGTATCTGAGCTGAGCAAGGGAACCAGTGAGGAGGTATGTCTGTGCACTGAAAGGAAGGAATAGTCCCTAGATGAGAAAGCTAATACTAGGGAAGGGTAGGAACTAATGGTAAGGGAGCAAATAGGACCAGAATAAGGAGGGATTGAGATCAAGGTAGTTCAGCTTTTGACTTCTGTGTTGGAAATGGGCAGGTGGATAAAGGGCAAGAAGGTTGGACACAGATGACTTAAACCTGGAATCAATCCTAGCTACTCAGGAGACTGAGATCTGAGTATCCTGGGCCGCCCAGGCAGACAAATCAAAGAGACTCATCTCCAGTTAACCAGAAAAAAACAGAAGTGGTAAAGTACCAGCTTTGGGTGAAAAAGCTAGGTGAAAACATGAGGCCCTCTATTTGTACCAAAAAAGAGACTCAATACTGGCACTGAGAGAGGGGAAAGAGGGGGGGAAGAGGAGGAAGGGAGAGGGAGAGAGAGACAAAGAGAGGGAAAAAAGGAGGGAGCGAGAGGGAGGAAGAGGGGGAGGGAGGGAGAGGAAGAAAAGAAGAAGGAAATGGGCAGATGGGCCGGGATAAGCTGCCTGGTTTGGTCAGGTGTGCTAAAGTCAGTTCTGGTGTTGTTACAGAGGTTGATGCATAAAGTTCATGAGTAACTGGAATGAAGAGGGCATTGGAAAAGTTCGGGGACCCTGGCACTGGGCTCCCTCCTCAAAGAATTAACCTCTAGTGAGTGGATATTGGCCCTTGTGACCCTAGCCACACTGTGGCTACACCCTGAGATCAGAGACGGACAGTGGGTCTAAGGGAGAGTAATAGATCAGGTTCTCTTTGAAATCCAGTCAGGTAGCACATAGGTCATTTTCAAGATGGCAGCTGAAAGTAAAACAAACAACGGTCAAGAAGAAAGGGATTGAAGGAATGGGGGACAGGAAAAGGTGTGACTAGTTGATGAAGTAGAACAAACATATTATGGGAAGAGCTAGCAATAGCTAGCAGTAGGTAGCATCCATGGGAACTTGGTAAATAAGCAGAGGATAGAGGGAAGGAGGAGATGTCTCCAGACAGCCATCTTCAAGTGTATGCACAACTGCATTCATGGGAGGTGTTGCAGAGCTTCGTCTCACCCAATAGCGTTGCATCTTCCCTCTTCTGCAGCACTGTCACCTTCAAGGTCTCTGCGTTAATCATCAGGAGATGACCCTCCTCACAGCCCACGTACAAGTCACTTGTTGGAGTCCAGCAATGCATAGTGGGGTGAAGCAAAGGATATACATCATCTTTTGGCTTTGGAGAGAAAACAAGCTTGTGTTAAGACAGCAAATACAGGGAAGAATCGGAGAAGCACTCACTCAAAACAGCACCAAAAAGAAACAGATGCCTGTGGTAAAAATAAAAATTTTAAAAAAATTCATTGGACCTGCCATTTGCCAACAGCTAAGTGAACGTCTTCCTCATACCATTTCTGCTCCATTCTAATTCATTAAGAAAAAAAAGAAGACGCCTGCCAACACATTCAGACCTCTTCTGCAGTCAGATCCTCGTGACAGTTTTGAGTAACAAGTTCTAAACTATTTCTTTGTGGACTGTTTCAGTATCTTAAGCCTAAGAAAGTCATAATGTGGCTAAGAGCATTTGCAGGAGTCACTCGGGTGAGAGGTAGGTGGGGCTGGAGACTACTTAGTCAGCTCACAAAGGGACTGAAGGGACGACTCTCTTCAGGGCACTGTGATCCATCTAATGTGGGTCGTAGTTAGCTATCCTGTGTGGCATTAGAATGTTCAGTAGTACCTGATCATTCCACTAAGCTGTACTATTTAGAGTGGCACTTGCCCCGACATAATGCCTTTGTCTTCTTTAAGGCATCCTTGCATTCATTGATACAGAAAGCATTTTCGGTAAGCTATGGTTCCAATTCATAGATTTCTTACATTCCTTAAGAGTTCCATGCTTATTTCCTTGTTTTACTCAGGCATTCATTCCTTGAACAAAATGTTATTAGACATTTACTATATTCTAGACAAGGTTCTAGGCATAGGAGTATAACAGCAAAAAACAGATTAAAAATATCCATGGGGCTGGGAAAGTGGCTTAGTGGTACAGTGCTTGCCTAGCATGCATGAACCCTGGGTTCAATTCCTCAGTACTACATAAACAGAAAAAGCCAGAAGTGGCACTATGGCTCAAGTGGTAGAGTGCTAGCCTTGAGCAAGAGAACCTCGGGGGCAGTACCCAGGCCTTGAATTCAAGCCCCAGGGCTGGCCAAAATAAATACAAAAATAAATAAAATAAAAAATCCATTCCTTCACAGAGCTTACATCTGATGAAGGAAATAGTAGAAAGTGATGATGTGGAATAGAGAGAATGTGATTGCTGGAAAGCAAAGCAGGGCAAGCAGGCCCAGGGTTCTGGTGAATCTATACTGTACAAATTTTTAGGTCTTTGTTCAAAACACCCAGATCTGTGCATGCCAGCCTTCTACTAAATACCCAGTTATTTGGTAATATATCTACTTTTTAATCTATGAAAAGTTTGTAGATTCAAGAGAGTGACAAGTGTAGCTCTGCTAAGTATTTTTACTAGGTTCTAAAGTTATTGTATAACTGACAGCTCAGAAAATACGTACTGGGTATTGGCTATATACCAGACATTGTGGCATATACTTGAATATATATATATGGTGACCACCTAATGAAGTCTAATTTTTTTTTGTCAGTTGTGGGGCTTGAACTCTGGGCTTGGGCGCTGTCCCTGTGCTCTTCAGTTCAAAGTGAGTGCTCTACTGCTTGAGCCACAGCACCACTTCCAGTTTTATAGTGGTTTATTGGAGATAAGAGTCACACAGACTTTTCTGCCCAGGCTGATTTTGAACTGTGATCCTTAGTAGCTAGGATTACAGGCATGAGCCACTGGCGCCCGGCGAACTCTAATATTTTAAAGGCAAACTCCCCACAAGGTTAAAACTTCTACCAACTAATGACATTCCTATGGTGTCTGACAGAAGGTTGGCTCTTAGAGAAAGAGTTATTCACTAAGTCACCACTATTTAAAACTTCTCATGGTAACATTTAATCTTCTGCTATAAAACATACAAAAAAAAAGAAATTTGATGGCAGAATCTTCTTTTATTCTTGAGATAGGGTCTTGCTGTGTCATTTAGGCTGGCTTTAAACTTGAGATCCTCCTATGCCTGGATCTCAAAATCAGTTTTATAAAATCCATACAACAAAGAACCCCATTACCAATCCGGTTCTCCCAACAGCAATGAATCTGTGCATATGAAACAGAATGAGAGGATTAAAACTTGGAATTTTCTGGATGTGTATGTGGTCTTTCTGTCCTATTTAAGACAAATGTGAGTTTGCCCTTGTATTATCTTCTTTAATAAACATGTGACTTATAATTTAAAAAGAAATTTGATATTATATGGATTCTGTGGGCAGACAATTTCAATTCAGAGAATTTTAAAACTATTTGCTAAACAAACTACCTCCTACTTCTAGGATCACAAACATTTTTGTCAAGAAAAAATTAGATTCCAATTTAATACTTCCTTATAAAATAGAAATTTGCAAATATGTGTAGGAATACTTGAGATATTTCTATTTAGGAAGTGAGTGATAAAGGAACTTGAACCTTTGAGATTAAATTCATCATTTTGGATACAGTTACTGCCCATATGACATTTACCTTTGATTTTTCCCACTCCACAATGGACTATGTTTTTAATGCCTTAAATAAATTGTGTAATGTTTCTCAGGCCTATTTATAGGCCCATAATGTGCCCTTCTAGCATTAGCTACAAGAAAGATAATGGGCTGTTTTCATGTTTGTAATCTCATAAAAGTCTCATCTTACCAATTTGCAAGTCTCTTGCATAGACCAAGTCATTACTGCTTGCTTTGCCATTGTACCCAAGTCACAAGACATAACATGTAAAGATGGTGATGAAATCAAGACATTGAGATCTATTTTTGGTTATAATCTCAAATTTATTGTATAACAATTAATCTGTTAGCTATTTCTTCCACCTTATTTCCCTATAAAACAAAAAGATAAACTAGTGGGAAATTAATTTCTAACTTAAATGGAAAGTACATTCCTTCATTAATATTCCCAGTGTGATTTGGGTTGTCATTCTCTAATATTAATTTTTTTCTTTTTCTTCCTTTTTTTTAAGCCAGTGCTGGGGCTTGAGTTCAGGGCCTGTGTATGTCCCTGAGCTTCCTGAGCTCAAGGCTAGCACTCTACCACTTGAGCCACAGAACCACTTCTGGCTTTTTCTGTTTATGTGGTGCTGAGGAATCGAACCCAGGGCTTCATGCATGCTAGGCAAGCATTCTACCACTAAGCCACATTTCCAGTCTTCTAACATTAAATTTCTGACTCAGGAAAATTGTTAAAATGTACTGAGAGAAATATCCTAAGAAGTAAAGACATTTACTCTCATATGCATTTTTTTTAAAAAAAATGGTAATTCCATATGTGTTTAAAGGAATACATCACAGCATTTTCCAAAATGGCAAGAACAATTTGCCCGAATCTTCAATGTTTCATGTATAACTTATCATGTTGGTACAAAACATGAAAGGCAAGGCTCTTACAGAAATTTACTGCAGCAGAAAAGACTTAGGACACAAAAATTAGGAGTTCTAAGCACTAACTACTAAAGAAGAGTGGCAACCTGGTGGCTCATCTGTTTTTACTTTGCTGCCCCCTTGCGGTTATGTGTGGTCCACCTTTCCAAGACTATAAAATGGGTCTTTTTCTATAACTCAAGAAAGCAAATCATTGCCATCTATTAGGGAAATATTAAGGGCTTGAATCTGTTCTTTTGCTTGTCACATAGATTTTTCTTAATAAGCCAATAATCAAATTGGATTTTTAAAAACATGTATAGCTTCATTTGCTGCAGTGTTTTAAAGCATCTGCTTAGACCTTAACATGAACATCAGCATAACATAGACCCATAGGCTCAAAGAATAATGCTCTTTACCTGCAGGGTCTTGCCCTGCTACTTTGTGCCTGGTCCTCCTACTGAACATCCCACTGTACATATTTATCACTTTGCCCTCACTGATTATGCCTTATCAGCCTATCTTCTCACCCTGGCTCTTCTTGCTAACTTCCACCCAGCATCTCTACCTGATGCTTCCTGGCCCCTTGACTTCAGTGTGTCCAAAACTGAAAACACATCTGGGCTTCCCATTCCTGCCATAATCCTCTAGCCTTCCAAACTCAAAAGTCTGGAGGTTGCTTGTAGTTGCCATAGCTAACATGTACTAAAAATCTTGTACTCCCTATCTTCAGTGGCTCATAAACAATCAAGTGAGGTCACACTTCCTAGACCTCCACCCCTTAGGTCAAAAATGCAATCACTTACCCTGAAAGTTTCTGCCTCTTCACCTACTAGCCCAGCAATGGCAGACAGGGGCATCACAGGCCCATAGATGGGATCCTTGAGCAACGTACTGGGGAAAAGTATATCTGTTTCATTAAAAAATGTCCCATCTTCTTGAGGTAGCTTTACTGACCTGGAATAAAAAAAGACATCAGAAAAACTGGATTAATAGAAACTAATGACTGGCATAGCTGCTGCATATTAGTGGTACACAGGTGGAAAGATGTTGCAAACAAAAACATAAAAACCACATAGGAGGTCTTAAAATATGTCTTAATAGGACACATTGTGAATAGTTATAAATTAGGTGTACAAGGATTATCAAATTGTTCCAGGCAGGAACTTGTAAAGTTGAATGTTGATGGGGGATCAGGCAGATAATTTGGGGGATGAGGACTGTAACCAATCAGGAAGTTAAAGTTTGCAGGTACCACCTACTTGCAGCCAAGAGGGTTCTAGACATGAGAATTTTGGTTCCAAAATTTTAATTTAATACTATAATCTGGATTATTTATGAGAATTGTCTCAAATTTTAAATGTTCACAATTAATTTAAATATTAAAAACTATGAGTTAAAATCAATAAAGCTGGTATCAAGAGCTTATTTCTATAATCATAGCTACTCAGGAGGTTGAGATCAAAGGTGACTCAAATCCATCCCAGGTAGAAAACTTTTAGAGACTCTTATCTCCAATTCAACACCAAAAGAGAAATTGGAGGTATGGCTCAAGGGATAAGAGTGATAGTCTTGAGCAAAAAAAGATGAGAGATAGCACTCTGGCCCTGAGTTCAACTCCTAGTACTGGCACCAAAAAAAGGTCAACATTTATGTATGCCATATTCAGCTGCCTTTGTGATTTCTGCTGCCAATAATTCATCTTCAAACACCATGTATCTACAGGTAGTCCATATGGTCATAAAAGTGAGCTAAATTCATGACTTCATGCATTATATCCCAAACCTCCTTGTCTGTGTTTTATGGATGATAAATAATTTTGGAAAATGATCATATAAACAAACTTAACTGTAAAGCTTAACTGTTTTTTTAATCCTGATTGCTTAATGAATCAGGCAATTTACTCAGCGTCTCTCTTACTTTCTTAGCTTATAGAAAAAAAATCATGTAAGTCAACATTCAGAACTAGAGTAGTAGACTGGAGAGGAGCAAAGGAAGACATAGATATGGTCAATTATTTGCCTGTCCTGACAATAATCAAGTAGGGACTTCGTTGACTTTGTTAAAAGACACAATGTTGTCAACTCTGACTAGAGAGAGATTTGGGTATTTGATGAGTTCTTGTAAGAATGAACTTGAGATTTTAGGTCTCTCCAGTCTGAAAAATTATTAAGAACTGGCTTTACATTTTGCTAAAGGCAATAATTTTTTTAAAAACTTAAAATATTAAGGGTATGCCTGTCCAACAACTTGGCCTTTGACTTTGTGGAGGAGACTGAAAATGGGCAGTTTGGTGGCATTTTGAGTCTTTGAACTCTTTCACAACAAAGGCACCTATAATCAAATATTACTATTACTGACCATTTCTCTTTGACTCATTTTTTTCTTTGTTGGAACCAGAGTTTGACTTCAAGGGCTTGTGCTCCCTTGGCTTGCTGGCTTGGCTGATACTCTACCACTTGACACATGCCTGTAGCCCAACTTTTTGCTGATTACTTTGGAGATGGAGTCTCATAGACTTTACTACCCATACTGGCTTCAAACTGCAGTTCTCCAGATCTCATCCTCCTGAGTAGTTAAGATCACAGGTATAAGCCACCAGTTCCTAGCATACGTTTTCCTTTTCCTTTCTGCTGAGCAACTACTCTTGTTTGTGGATAATGAAGCTGACTTATATACTCTGATCTGAAACACATTTTTTAATATGTAAAACTTTCTTATTTCTGAGCTTTTTACCCAGGCATTAAAGACATAAGCACAAATGTCGCTTTGATACAACAGTTATCTTTTTTTGTTTGTGTATGTGGGTGCTGGTCTTAGGGATTAAACTCAGAACCCAGGCACTGTCCCAAGGCTTTTTAGTCAGAGCTAATGCTCTACCACTTGAACCACAGCTTTACTTCCAGCTTTTTGTTGGGTAATTTGAGATAAGAGTTTCGCATCTTTTCTTGCTTGGGGTGGCTTTGAACCATAATCCTCAGAACTCAATCACCTGAGTAGTCTGATTACAGGCATGAGCCATTGGCATCCAGCACAAAAGTCATCTTTTAAAATAGCAAGAATATGCCTACTTTTGCAAAATCAAACCATGTTGGAAAAAGCTCTCTTGAGGATTTGATATTTAAATGAAATTTATCCAGAAATCATGTCAATGAGAATCTATCTGAATTGCCAACAATTGCTCTAGGTAATTATAGACCTAGAAAGATGTTTTACCTTAGTATGAGCTGTATGTATGTACATGTGTACATGAGTGTGTACACAAATCTACTTAATCTTATTAAGTTAACCCCACCCCCTTACATGAATGCAAATGGATAGCTATCACGTTCAGATTGACATTTTATAGTAGCAAAATCTCCTACTTTGCTTTTAAATAATGTTCCTGGTTACTTCTTTCAATGGTCCACACGCTCACTGAACTTGAACTTGATAAGCACAGTTGGTGCCAGTTCATGGGGTTGAAAGTCATCTGGCTCACATCCAAACCAAGCTGTGATTTCTTGCACAAAATGACATTTAATTCCCAGTTCCTTAGAGGAAAAGAGCATTGAGGAGAAAATGAATGAGTTAAATTTTATGGTGTTGTGAATATTTATCTCATTAAGATAATTTACACAAATTGGGACATATTTATGATACAATTTATAGACTTTATTATATTAACATCATATTTATTCATAAGTATGCTTAACTGAGTCCCTCTAGGACACAGAACATTACATATTTAAAAAAATTATTACATCATATACTACACCAAAGGTCATTTTGTCCTCCTTATTCAATTGAAATTCAGACAAAACTAGAAAATAGAATATATTATAACATTTTCTGAAAACCCCATGTTGAGTCTAAATCTCTAAGCACTATGCTTAGTATTCCATATGGATCTGGGTTTCCTGTACTCACTGATACCAGTTGCTTATTTACTGAGTTTTTGAGGGTTTTTTTTTGGTTGGTTGGTTATTTTGGTAGTGGGGCTTGAACTCTCAGCCTGGGTGCTGTCCCTGAGCTCTTTAGTTCAAGGTGAGCACTCTACCAGTTGAGCCCCAGCAGCACTTCTGGTTTTCTGATGATTAATTGGAAGTAAGACTCTCATGGCTTTTCCTGCCTGGGCTGTCTTTGATCCTCAAATCTCAGCCTCCTGAGTAGCTAGGATGAAAGGCGTGAGCCACCGGCGCCCAGCTTTCCTGAGACTTTTTAAAATAAACGGTATCTGATTTAATTATTCTTAGCATACATTACTTGTCCAAGAGGGATTTAACTCTAACATTTCCATACATATAAACAACATATCCGATCAACTTCACCTTCTCTACTACTTCCCCCCATCCTACTCCTTCTTCTTAAACAATTTCAGCAGGTTTCCATGTTCTGTTTTCATCCATGCCAATAAACTATGTCAATCAAGCTCAGCCCATTCACTACCTCCCACCATCTGAGGCTTTTTCACATTTTTATCATTCATTTGAAAACGGTAGCCTTCTACATTTGGTGTAAAATATTATTAATGTGTGAGGCCATCGTTCAGCCCTCTTGTGAACTAAGGACTCTGATGAGTGGAAAGAAAAACTGAGAATGTAAAGGAAGCAATGCCCACATTTCAGAGAGCCAGCAGAACTGCCATTAGGAAACAGGGCCTGATGTTTAGGAACCTGTCTCAGCCCCCTCCTGCTCTCACTGGCTTCCACCCCCCTCACCAATGCCTCATTCTCCACAACAGCAGTTCTCTCCCTGGGATCTTTGGTTCCCTCATCCTTTGACTTTCTGCCTCAGATATTGGGCAACTCTTATCAGCCCTGGATGGATTTAACTAAAGCTTGGGCTGCTTGGGACATAGGAACTAAGATGACTGTCCAGTGGCACATGCAGCTTCCAAGGAAGTCTGTGTCCTCACTCATTCTCCTCCTTTCTGCCTCCCCAAAACACATGGGTGATATAACATTTTAGACTAGAGATGACAACATAGGGTAACAGGATAGTGGGAGAGCTGTCACAGTAACCAAGGACCCACCTGCTATCCGTGGGCACCTGACATCCAGTGACTGATGGTGAAGGACACCACATTTGTGATTTCAATTTCTATTACAGCCAGTGAACCTAAATCCCAACTGCTAGGACAATTACCCAGTAGACATCTCCATTTATTTTACACACTGTACATTTAGCTTGACCCTTATCTCATCTTTTCCACTGCTTCCTTCAACTTCCTTCCTCACATACCCTCAATAATTTTTTTATTCCTTTATTTTCTTCTCTTTTTTCCCCTCTCTTCCTCCCACCCTCTCTTCTTTTCCTTCCTTTTATTATTGATTTTGTGTGTGGGGGGGGTGTCAGTCATGGGGCTTGAACTGAGTGCTGTCCCTAAGCTCTTCAGCTTAAGGATAGCACTCTACCACTTGAGCTACAGCGCCAGTTTTCTGGTGGTTTATTGGAGATCAGAGTTTCACGGACTTTCCTGCCTAGGCTGGCTTTGAACCATGATCCTCAGATCTCAGCCTTCTAAGTAGCTAGGATTACAGGCGTGAGCTACCAGTGCCTGGCTTGTTACTGATTTTTAAAGACAAAAATCCTACTATGTAGCTCAGATTGGACTTTGATTTTATAATCCTCTCACCTCAGCCTCCTGAGTACTGGAATTACAGGTGTGTACTACTATGTTCAGTTTTCCTTCAATATTTTTCTGAACAAATGTCCTTTAAATTTTCAAGTCAAAACTCTAGGTTTAACCCTGGATGCATCCATCTCCACCAGCTGCACATTCCACATTCAGTTTCGTCTTTTGATCCTACCTTCTAAACACTTCCCAAATATCGCCACTCCCAGCCTACTCTACAGTCATCTATCTCCCTTCTGTACCATCACAGCTCCAATCTGAAGTCTACATTTAGTTTCCTCTAATATAGCTTCCACAGGACAGCTGGTTGATGTCACATCTCTGCTTAAAACCTTTTAATAGCTTCTGATTGCCTTTAGGATAAATGATGTTCCTTCAGCATGGCTTATATGTAGGGTTACCTCTCCCTCCTCCAATTCACCTGCTTGTTAATATATCCAGGAGAACTTATGTTTAGGTCTGTCACTCTGCACTAATGAATAACAGCAACCTTCTTCAATGCACAGAGGTGTCCTGGTTTGGATGATCAAGGCCATCTATTTATAAGCCTGTTCATCAGCAGCCTTAGACTATCCCCTCCAGTTTGCCTCTCTTGTGGCTAGTTTCTTTTCCCTCTTAATCACCTCTTAATCAAAACCCAATGTGTTCTCAGGACCCACAGCCTTTGCACATGTCATGCTCCTGCTTGGACTCCTGCTCTTTCAACTCTTCTCAAGGCCAATTGCTCCTCAGCCTTTAATACTGATGTGGAGTAAATTGAGCCCTGTTCATCCATGGATGATGCCCTTATCCCTAATATCGTATTTGGAAACAGGGTAAAAAGTTAAAAAAAATGAGATTGGACCTTAATCCAACATGACAGGTGTCCATATAAAAAAGGAGACATTAGGAGACAGAGCCATGCACACAGGCAAAATTCCATGTGAAGCTGAAGATACAGATAATGGGCGGAACAGCTTCTAGGCCAAGAACGACAAGGATTTTCCACAGGCCAGCAGAAGCTGGTGAGAGGCATGGAACAGATCCTTTCTCACCATCTACAGAAGGCACCACCCCCCTAATCCCTTGGTTTTGGGATTCTTGTCTGCAGACCTGGGGACAATGAATTTCTATTGTTTAAGCCACCTACACTTTTTGCAACAGTTCTAGCAAAATAATGCAGGTTATCGCTTAAACATTACCTCCCCTGTCCAAGAAACACTTCCTGACCATCTCAATGCACCCAGATTAGATGAGGTGCCCCTGCTAAGTGCTCCCTGTGTGACACAGATCCTAAAAGGTCTTAAAGAACTGAGTCCTTCAGGTTTGAACCCCAGCCAGCAACTCACCAGCTACATAAAGTTGGACATGTAGTTGTAAGAACAATAATAAAAAAAAATCAAGCTTGGGGGGGAAAAAGAACAATTTCTCATAGTATATTGGAAAACATTTCCTAGTATACCCTTAGAAACAAAAAATGAACTTTGTACCTTGCTTTGAACCTGCCTGACACTCCCCTGGAATGTAATTTTATTGTCCCAGTGATAAAGGTGGTTGTGATTTTATAGGTTAGAGTTTAACTCTGACACATAAAATGCTGTGTTTTGCCCAACAGATTATTTCAATTTAAGCTACCGTGGTATGGATATCTATGGAAAGTTAGCCTTTGTCTTATTTTCTACTGCCAATCCTGGGGTTTGAATATAAGTCTTCGTGTCCTTTGTTCTTTCTTGACTTTCCTGCCATGTTCATCTGGTGCTCTATCACTTGAGTCATGCCTCCAATCCAGCATTTTTCTGGCTAATTGCAGATAAGAGACTCTTATTTTGCAAAAGACTTTCTGCTCAAGCTGTCTATGAACCAAGATCCTCCAGGTCTCAGCCTCCTGAGTAGATAGGATTACAGGTGTGAGCCTCCATGCCTGGCCAAGTTAATCACCTTTGTATCCAACCTAGAAATTCTGTTCAGTCATTCTGTTTTCTATCTATGTGTGTGTATGATTTGTGTTCTGAATGTTTTAATCACATGAAAACAGAGCCCTCAAGAAGGAGGTCCTTACCCTGACTTACAAAAAGAAAAAAAGCTGGGCACCAGGGCTCATGCCTATAATCCTAGCTACTCAGGAGGCTGAGATCTGAGAATCACGGTTCAAAGCCAGCCCGGGCAGGAAAGTCCATGAGACTCTTATCTCCAATTAACCACCAGAAAACTGGAAGTGGTGCTGTGGCTCAAGTGGTAGAGTGCTAGCCTTGAGCTGAAGAGCTGAGGGAAAGTGCCCAGGCCAAGAGTTCAAGCCCCACGACTGACAAAAAAAGAAAAAAAGAAAAAAGACTCCTTACAGATAGCCTCTCCCTCCCACTACATGAGGACTTGGGAGAAGGCATCTGTCAATCAGGATGTGCCTTCACCAAATGCCAAAGCTACAGGTGTCTAGATTTTGAATTTCCCTTTCTCCAAAACAGGAAAGCTGTCTGTTGGTTATCAGTCACCTGGGCATTTTGTTATAAAATCCTGAGTGAACTATGACAGGAACCAGATTCTTCTTCTTCCTGTGTGTCCTATTATTAGGAGATTGCACAAAACTTCCCGTATGCATACAACCTGTTTGAATATTCTGCTCTAAAATAGCTGATCACTTTAAGGCTTTTTTTTTCTTTAAAATGAGGACCCGCTGGGTGATCTTTTAAAAACTAGAAAGGAGTTGTACAAAGAGGTGACGATTCCATAAGTTAGGTTCTGAGTACAGTGCTTCTTGATTGATATCACTCCTTCCATTGTTCTCCCCTGGGTGATTTTTTTAAGTATAGAATGAATGGGCTGACCCATTTGAATGCCAGCAAACTCTTCTCTGATAAAACTGGTGATGATGCTGAGCAGTTAGCCTACTTATTCCCTTGACCACGGACTCCAGACGTTCCAGACACCCAGCATGGAGCTACAAGTACGAGAACACCCTTATCTTTTCTATAAAATATTTTCTTCCGAACTGCCATTTGTAATTATACAAGTAACGTATGAATCAATTCTGCTCTCTTCAGATGTTAGAACATAAAGGTAATATTTCCTTGGGCCTGTTTCCATTCTAGGATTTGAATCCTGGCCTGTGAGTGCCTGCTGGTCTGACTTGTAGAACGGAGACTAAAAGCCTGTGCTCCAATACTCCTAGGCTAGCTGCTGTCACCAGCTTGAATCTTTCTCCCTATTGACCTTCCGACTCTCCTGTGTCCTCCCTGCTGCCAGCAAAGCCACTTCATGAAGGACTAATTCTCACACTCACTTTCTACACAGCGCCCAAGGATGCCACAGGGCTGTTCTCAGAGCTTCCAAAAAGCTGGAATGCCAGAGTAGAGGCAGGAGGGGCTTGGCCTCCCAGCTCTGTTCGTGATCATTCATGAGGCCCCGAGGCACCTCTACCAGTGCAGAACCTCATAGAGACTCTTCTCACCCCAGAGTCATTTCTGGTCCCCTGTCTCTCTCCACCTCAAGATTTCCTAAACCGAAGTGATCACAAATATTAAGATGTACAAACACACACAGGGGACAAATGGGGTACAGGGGAGATACTGTCTACCTTTAACCCCGCCTCAACCTATCCAAAATGCCTAGTTACAGAAGTCTCGGGCTTGCCCTCTGTGCTGTAAGATGCCTAAGAAGAGACACATTTGCTATCCAGCAGAAACCAAAGGATAAAGATTTACTAGCTAAATTAATTCTAATGTCCATGGAGGCCAGGAAGCTAAGGTCAATGAATTAAACATCCTGAATGTATACGTCTAGGTCAGAGGGTGGCCAACCCCCTCTGTGAAGGACCATATGGTACTTTCAGCTTTGCAGTCTACATATATAGTCCCTAGCGGAACAACTATTCTGATCTTAAAGAGCAAAAGCAGCCATAGACTATATGTAGATAAATAAGCATGACTGTGTTCCAATAAAACTTTACTTATAAAACCAAGAGGAAGACAAGATCTGGCTTTACCAATCCCTGAGGGCTTTTACGCTGTTGCCCTGTGGTAATAGAGGTCCGTGGTTCCTCCTATCTGAGAGAGGTCAAAGAGATAATTTTTTCCCCTAAAACCTCTCCATTAAAAAATATTTTATGGCCCAAATAAATAGACATTGTGGCCCAAAGATCATCACTTTTGAACCTCTGACTTAAATAAACAAATAAATACCATGTAGCTGCCTTGTTAGGTGCTGTGCATATTTGTACTTAATGAATTCTTAAAGGAGATATTGTGATATGACTTTACAAAGGAGGAAACTGAGGTTTGGCCTCCCCAAGATAACACAGCTGGAAATTTGAGGGCCAGGATTCAACCTACATCTCAAACACCAGTACTCATTCCTCTTCAGTGCTACATGTTCACATGCTGCACCTAGGAGAGGTGAGAAGAGTCTACTGCATTTGGAACCATCAGAACTTGTGCACCTGTCTGTCTTTTCCAAGGGCTTTCTGTCCTGTGCCTCCAGACCTGTTGGTTAAGCCCCTTAACTTGTAGTACTTTTTGAAAGCCCCCAGAGCAAACCAGTGCATCCATCAGTAGGTAACTAGATCAACAGAAGCTGGTATACCCATATCTTGCACTAGCAGGGAATGCCTACTAATAAATAGTACAAGCAATTTACAGAACAATTAGGCTGTATGAAAATAAACAGACAAAACAGACTATATAGTGTATAACTGCCTGCATATGAAATTCTAGATCAGGGTACATTGTATTTATAAACTGCTTTGTTGAATTGCAACTCCTTAGTACAAGAATTTAAAGATAATTTTTCTTAAAGTAATACTGGTGTGCAAGGGCTATCCTCAATTATTCATAATTTATGTTTTCCTTTATTAAAACAAATTTCTCTCTGAAGAGGTTTATATCATAGACAGAAGAGCGAACGTAGCAGTGAAGTTGGCCTGCACTGACCAGAGCTGTGTCTAATTCATAGATATTCCCTACAAAGCTGTCAAGTGTGGGATACAGTTCCAATGTTTCTAAAGACAATTACTTCGATACTCTAATACAGTAGCCATCTTAATGTCAATGTTAAGGAAGCATGCTAACAACTTACAAGAACTATTTTTGAAAAGATGAAACTTTATGCACTTATAATTGTTTTTGTTATTTGTACTCTTTATTCTTTCCTTACTGTAAAGGAAGCATTGCATCATGTTCATAAAAATTCAAAGATAAGCCCATTGCTGGTGGCTCACATCTGTAATCCTTGCTACTTAGGAGGCTGAGAACTGAGGATCATAGATAGAAGTCAGCCTGGGCAGGAAATCCTGTGAGACTCATCTCCAATCAATTAACCACCAAAAAGCTAGAAGTGGATCTGTAGCTCAAGTAGTAGTGAGTTGGCCTTTTCTTTTCATTTTTTTAGGTGTGAAATCAGAACTCAAACTCGGTATCTGATGCTTTTACTCATTAGCTAGTGCTCTACCAACTGAGCCATACCTCCAATTCCATAAAACCTCTGTTTTGTGTGTGTGTGTGTGTGTGTGTGTGTGTGTGTGAATCTGGTGACTTGAACTCAGGGCCTGGACGCTGTCTCTGAGCTTTTTTGCTCCTATGTTCTACCACTTGAGCAACAATTTTTAAAGCTCAAGGACAGTGCCCAGACCCTAGTTCAAGAACCAGGACCATTACCACCAAAATGAAACAAAAGACAATAATGTAATTCTCATATAAGTGTGTGTGTGTGTGTGTGTGTGTGTGTGTGTGCGTGCATGTGTGTGTACTGAGGCTTGAAATCAGGGCTCAGTGCTCTTACTTGGCTTTTCTGCTCAAGGCTGGTACTCTTATCACTTGAACCACACCTCCACTTCTGAGTTTTTCTGGTTAGCTGGCAATAAGAGTCATGGACTTGTCTGCTTGGGATGGCTTCAAGCAGAGAGTCTCAGATCTCAGACTCCTGAACAGCGAGGATGATAGGTGTGAGCCACTGGCATACCACTTCATATAGTTGTATGCCACTTCATATAATTGTATGCCTACGCATAACAACTGTATTATCCCTTACAATGAGGGTTTCTTTTGTTTCTATGATTCTTTATTTCAGAGTTTTATGTCTATTTTCTTTTATCAAACCTGGGGTAAGATTCAAATGGAACTCAGTAAAAGGGCAGCTGGAGGATGCTGATACTTACCAGAGAGCCAGTTCAAATTCTGGGAGAGAAGAGTAACTAGCCAGGTAGGTACCACAATAACTGAATGAAAGCAAAGTGTAGTCCAGAAGAATGTTGCCTAAAATATAAAATCCATTATGTGAATTCGATGATCATATTCAGTTCTGCTATATGGACTTACAGTTCATTCTCCTTTTCTAGTGATTTTTTACATAATCCTAAAGCTTTGAACTACCAGAGTAAAAGATCTCCTGATGAATTCTAAGTCTGAACAGAAAGCCAAGATCCAAGCTAAGATCCATTTTTAAAAGATAGTGCAGTGAATTAAAACCATTAGTTGCTGTCTCTAAACTTCAACACAGAGAATACTCTGCATAATAAATGCCTCAGCATGGTTTAAAATGACCTGAGAACCATAGAGTATCTTGTAAACATATGACATTGTAATTATAACAGTTAGTTAAATTTCAAGTACTTTGGACAGCTATAATAATTGTAGATTACTTCCTTGTTTTATTCTTAGGTCTTATTCTGGTCCTCAGCTTAACATCTTCCATTTCTTGACACTATAGAATGCCTGTGATCCTAACTACTCAGGAGGCTGAGATCTGAGAATCAGAATTTGAAGGCAGCCAAGGCAGGAAAGTCTGGAAGATTCTTATCTCAAATTAACTACCAAGAAGCTAAAAGTATAGCTGTAGCTTGAGTGGTAGAGTGCTAAACATAAACAAAAAAGATAAGGGACAGGGATCTAGACCTGAGTTCAGACCTCAGTATTGACACGCATGCGCATGCACAAACACACACACACACAACCTCATTTTAACAGAGTATAATATAACCCTTAAAAGACTTGGTTATTGGATATCCAATGTAAGGATAGAAATAATTTCTCTGTAGGATAAGGCCTTCATAGAATGGTTTAATATCCTTGCTATATGTACTCTTCCCTTCAAAATAGACATTAACATTGTTATTATATAATAATTACATACAATAGTATAGGATAACTAGCATATAAAACTATGTAATATTACTATAAGTAGTTATTTATATATTCTTTAAATTTAAAAACTATATGGTTTTTGAAGAAAATACACCACCACCCCAAAAAAAGAGAAATTTATAACCACCAAATTTGGAAAATTTCTTCCTAGTATTTTCTTCTGTGGTTGTGAAAATACAACAAATGCAACTTTGCTTTTTATACTTATATAACCATGGATTAAATATTACATACATAAGCACTCCATTTTAAAAGTGGAATTTTGGGAGCTATTGAGTCCTGTTAGATTTTTGTTTTAAATCATTTTGAGCACTTTATCATCTAATATTTCTTTAAGCTGTGATTTTTAAAAATATTTACAGTAATACCCCTTTATGGAATATTTGAACTTACTTAACCATATCTGGGATACTGGGAATGTGGGCATATAAATATGCTTTCCAGAAGCCAGCCATCAGTTAATACTCCTACTTCCTTTCAGGAAATGGGAATGTTACCAATTTCACCACACACTGTCTAGAAATCAGGAGTTCAAAAATTCTGACTTTGATAGGAAGAAAAATGGCACCTCAGTTTAACTACACTCCCAAAGTGATTACTGAGATGAATTTTTTATGTCATTTGCCATTTAAAATTTTGTGACTTGTCTGTGAATTACTTCTTTTTCCTTTCTAGGATATTTTATCTGTTATTTTTCTAACTGCTTCATAAATACTGTGATGATATTTGATCAAATTTGTTCCAAACATTTCTTTTATTCAGTTTGTTATTTTGCCTGTTTCCATGGATTCTGTGTGTATGTGGTGTGTGTGTGTGTGTGAGGAGGGGGGCAGGGAGGGAGGGAAGAGGAGAGAGAATATAGTTCCTGGGGCTTGAACCCAGGGTCTCAGACATGCTAGGCAAGTGTCCTATAACTGAATTACATCTTTAACTCTATATAGTGTGTGTGTTTGTGTGTGTGTGGTGTATGTGTGTGTGTGTGTGTGTGTAATTTTTCTGGCCCATATTGTGGTTTGAACTCAAGATGTCTAGCTTATTTGGCTTGCTTTGAATGACTAGAACTTGAGGCATGCCTCCAGCCCAACTTTTTGCTGGAATTTTGACTCTTCTGCCACAGCTGGTTTTGAACCTCAATCCTCTGGATCTCAGCCTCTTGGATAGCTAGGAGTACAAGTGTGTGCCCCCAGCTCTACATGGTATTTTTGCTGTGCTTAGTATTAAATTTATATGTAATTGAATGTGTCAATCATTACAGTTTTTGTTTGGAAAGTTCTTCCCAGTCTTGAAATCTCAATATTCTACTTATCAAATGATCTGCTTATATTTAATATACAGTGTAATGTGTGCATGTGTATATTCATATATCACCATCAGTCTTAGCATTATATACTATTATTCCTATTCTGTGTGTAAATAAAAGGCTCAGCCTTGTCATTATAAATTATAAAAACATCAGTTGACCTAGATTTTTAAAAATCATTAGGAAAAAAAATCATGGCTCTGAAAAATGTCAGTCCAATGCTTCTCAGAGTTTAGTGGGTATGTGAATCACTTGGGAAATCTTGTTAAAATGCAGATTTCTGGACAGGTACTGATGGTTCATTCCTATAATCCCAGCTAATCAAGAGGTTGAGAGCTGAGGATCATGGTTCAAAGCCAGCCTGCAAGGCACTTATCTCCAAGTAAGCACCAAAAAGCCAGAAGTGGAGCTGTGGCCCAATTGGTATAGCACCATCCTTTAGCAGAAAAAGCTAAGGGACAGCACCCAGGACCTGAGTTTAAGCCCTAGTACCCTCATCCCCCAACACACACATACACAAGCAGATTCCTATTCATATTATCTGCCTTAGCAGGGAGATTCTACACTGTTTTGCTTGGAAGGGACAATATATAATGCTATACAGGCTGTTCTCAAACTTGTAGAGTCAAGGAGCCTCCCAACTGGGTAGGATTACAGGTGTGTGTCACCATGCCTGGCTTAGTTTCTGCATTTTAAAAGGTAGATCAATACTGGCAGTAAGTGATCCACACTTTTGAGTAGTAAGACTTAACCTCCTTAATCAAATATTCTGTGATTTTTTTTATTTACAACAAAAACCTTCAAACATACAAACCATCTTCATTTATTGGAACTAGATTTGGTCACATCTTACCACAAAATCAGTTATGAGCAGAGGAAGGGTCCCCCAAGTTACCTTTTAATTTGTTCTTTCTCATCAATTCAGGAAAGCTGTATATGTGGATAAGGGGTTTTAATTTCCGGTCAGAAAAAGCCACAATTTCATACGGAACATTAGTTGCCACAACGCCCACAATTCCATTAGCACATGAGAGTAGAGTCCTTTTCTTGGTTTCAAGATTAATAAATATTATGTAATTTCCAGAAGGGTAGCAAATGGTGTTGTCATTCACAAAATGAATATTCTGCTTAGGAAATCCTTGCACCCATCTTTAGGAAAAGATATATCAGCATCAGTACATTTCATTTATTTCACATCATTCTTGTCTTTTTTTGGGAGGGGGGGTCCGATCGTGGGGCCTGAACTCTGGGCCTGGGCACTGTCCCTCAGCTCTTCAGCTCAAGGCTAG